CATCTAACGATTCTACATGTGTTTAAGTAGAGTCTTTCTGTAAACTTATTATAAAAATTTTATTTTTACTATTAAACCTATTGTTTAGTTTTATATTCTATTCTATTGTTTCATCCCTAATAATCTACATTTTGTTTAACTATCATTTATCTGAAACCGTTTCGTTCGTTCGTTTTAAACGGCATGAACCGTCATGTTATGTAAGTTGAATAGTTTAATTACCAACTGTTTTATTTTCAGGGAAGTATTCAGAGAGTTTGTATTGAAGAATTGGTTTTTGTACTAACAATGGAGTTAAGTCTGTTACGCACTTTGTTATGGTTGACGATGGCCGTCGTGACGGCTAATGTACACAATGACCCGGCGGGAAATCAAATTGTAATATTCAAGAATAAAACGTCGGTAAGAACACAAAACATTTTCAAAAATATATTAAAATTGTGGTCAATCACAATTTTAATATATTTTTTAATTTAAAGTTTTAATAACATACAAATATATATGGACTTGCTAGTCTGTCTAGTGGTTAGTGCTTCTGACTACTGAGCCAGAGGTTGTGGGTTCGATTCCCACCCAGAACAAATAATAGTGTGATGAGCACGATCGTTTAATGTATCCGGGTCGTGTATCCATAACATGCATGTATTAAAAAAAATATTGTATTGCTGATACGGCGAACTTCGTACCGCCTTAGAATTCATAAATTTGGTGACATACCGACAACAGCGCCACCTACTGAGTCCAATTGTGTTTTTAAACCATCCAGGAACCTATTGAAATATGCACGCAAAAAGTCATCCAAATCGTTTCAGCCGTTTCGGAGGAGTTAGGTTACGGTTAGGAGTAAGGTATCTTCATTATCTCTAGTAGTGATAAAAGGTGTACCTTTAACATATACATACTTGTATGTATATGTTAAAGGTACACCTGTTAGGTTAGGTAGGTACACCTATTGTATGTATGTGTATGTTTTAATGATGTATATGTTTTAACGTGCCACTTTTGCTCTTCTTACATATCTTACGATTCGTAAAATATGTAAGAATAGCCAAAGTATAAAAAATTTAAGGAAGTTAGAGAGAATTCGTAACTTTCTCTAATTTAATTGGCTGCACGGATGGCGCAGTGGTTTAAGCGGACCTTACAAGCCAATAAGTTTACTAGGTTTTAATATTTGTAACCGTTTTCATTCCGTTCATAGTTCACAGTAATCGCATATAAATCAATCAATCAAAATCAAATCAATCAGTGTATCTTCTAAAAGTATCTATGTAAGTCTTAATATGTTAAGACTCAAATCCACATACAGATATTGTAACATATACCCTACTGTTATTTTTCAGGGTCCAATTGCTATAATGACAACATCTGTGGGAGCGCCGATTGAAGAAGAAGAAACTGTTACTTTAAACAAAAGGCTTTTGTTCAATGAGTTTTTCATGGATTCCATGACTCACTTAGTTCGTGAAAGAATCCCAGAAAGGTTGGTTCATGCCAATGCTGGAGGAGCTTTTGGCTACTTTGAAGTAACTCACGACGTAACAGACATTTGTAAAGCTAAACTTTTTAGCAAAGTCGGGAAAAGAACGCCAGTAGCGGCAAGATTCTCGCCAGTCGTAATAGAGAGAGGTGGAACGGATACCTCTAGAGATGCCAGAGGCTTCGCTATTAAGTTCTATACAGAAGATGGCAATTTTGATATAGTTGGTTTTAATACACCTATGTATGTCTACAAGGACCCTATTCTGTTCCCAACTTTCGTAAGGGCACAGAAAAGAAATCCAGCAACAAATTTGAGGGATCCAAATATGTTATGGGATTTCTTGACATTACGACCAGAAAGCTTGCACATGTTCCTACTTGTGTTCAGTGATCGTGGTATCCCTGATGGCTACAGACACATGCCTGGCTTCGGTATTCACACTTACCAGGTAGTTAACGAGCATGGCGAAAAATATTTTATTCGATTTCATTTCAGACCTGATCAAGGTCTAAAAACTTTGACATCTGAGAAAGCTAGAAAAATAGGAGGTATTGATCCAGATTACAATACAAGAGATTTATATACAGCCATTGGTAATGGTAATTTCCCCAGTTGGACTGCAAGCATTCAAGTACTCACATTAAACGACGTCAAGAACGCTGGATTTGATGTATTCGATGTTACAAAAGTACTACCACTGGATAAATATCCTCTAAGGCTCTTAGGACGTTTTGTTTTGAATAAAAATCCAATTAACTATTTTGCCGAAATCGAGCAGTTAGCATTTAGTCCCGCTAATCTTGTACCAGGCATTTTAGGAGCACCAGACAAAGTATTCGAAGCACGTCGATTAGCTTACAGAGATTCTCAGTACTATCGCTTGGGCTCAAATTTTAACAATATACCTGTTAATTGCCCATTTCAAAAAAAAACTTTCACATACAATCGTGATGGTGAACCACCTGTCAAGGATAATATGAGGGACATACCTAATTATTACCCAAATTCATTCAATGGTCCTGTACCCTACAAAGATGAAGATGCAGTACAACTTATAGAGATTTATCAGGATAAAGCTAATAACTTCGAACAATCTAGAGAGTTGTATATCAATGAAATGTCACCTGATGAGAGGAAAAGACTAGTAGAAAATATATTGTACGGTTTAGGACCGGCAACAAAGTTTATTCAAGAGCGGGCTGTTAAGATATTTCAACTTATACATCCAGATCTTGGTGAGAGAATTTGGAAAGGTTTACAAGCAAATAAAACAAGTTATGACTCCCTTCAAGTTTCTCATTGTGATTGAACTAATGCAACGCTAAGATTTAAATACGAAGGATTTAGGAATAATTTATACAATCGTTGCACTTAATATGATAATAAACCAATGATTTTTATAATACATAGATTTACAATTGTTCAATAATAGTTGTTTAAATACTAAGTATGGTTAAAAATAAAATGCCAAACGATGTTTATGTTCGAGTTGATTTTTCAATAAACCTGTCCAATAAATTCACAGCCAAGTACTCTTACTGCAGTTGAGTATGTACATTTACATATTTGTTTTATGTAGGTATTTTGTAAAAAGGTTTGTGGTTTTAAAAATTTTACAACTCAGGAATAATCTAAGAACAAACGCAACGTAAAAGCATTAAAATTTATTTTCTATAAAGATATTACTTATTTGTACAATACTTGTAAAACATATTTAATTACTTATTGATGTGAAAACAAAAGTTGAAATACAAATTAATTTGAGTTTCATTTTCTTTTACACCAACCAGACTTAACACTAAAAAAATAATCAAGGAACTAAGCCGAAAACTCACAGAAGCCAATAGGCAGTGAGCGGCTGGACCAATTACGGCATTTTTTTAAATGGGATTATAATAGTAGGAGAAGGTTGTTTTTGAATTATTTTTTTCTAATTTAATTATAACAATTCGAATTCAATATTCATAGTTAACACAGGAGAACGTTTGTGGGGTTAGTTAGTACTAAATAAATGTTTCTCCAAAGAAATTTACACCAAAATATTCGGGGTTACTTTGGGGGTAAGATCAAAATAACCTCGAAGAAGCTCAGTGTGCTGAATAGATCGAGGCAGTATTTTACTCCAACTATATAAGACAAGTCCTGCCGCATATGGCATACAGTTCTCATCTCTATTCAGGGGCAGGGCGCCTAGTAACAGCTTCTCCCTCTGGACCGCATCCAGCCAAGAGAGACTCGAATCGTTGATAGCCAAAATATCTCCGATCAGCTCGAGCCCTTGGAGTTACGTAGATCCTGTTTAATAGCGAAATGTGTCCTGTACTCATTATTTAATCTACTTAAAATCTTTTGTATATAATAAACTCATTATTATTAATGTTAGAGAATTAGCTTCATTTTGGTTTCTATATCGTATACATCATCATGGAGAGTGCTCCGAGGAATTATTCGCACTAATACTAGCTACAATTTTCCACCATCGTTCCACACTGCAAAATTTTCATCCCCGTCACTTGTTTAATTGTCACTCACCAGTGTAGAATTTTTAAGACACTTTTTGCCTCGCACAAGCAATCAGTGTAACAAGTTATCGTCTGCTTCATTCCCGGCCCGATACGACCTTCAAGAAAAGAGCGTACTCCTTCCTCAAAGGCCAGCAACGTTGCAGTAGTCATTTTCCATCAGGTGACGGTCTGCCTCGTGTCTGTTTTATTTTATATAAAAACGAATTAAAACTCTTTCGCCCTAGACACTCAGCTCTTAGCCATGTTGCCTTAAATCGAAAGTTAATTTCGATTTAAGGCAACATGGCTAAGAGCTGAGTCTCTAGGGCGAAAGAGTTGCAAAATACAACTAATTAAAAAGAGGAGAAGAAAGAACAATACTCAAAATGTGAATTGAACTCTAATGAATTATATTTATAGAAGAGTCTACTTCTCCAATACGAATAGAGTTCGAGTAATACCTACCACACAAACATCATACACTAATAACGTCGATGTCATCTTACGAGGATAATAGATAACTCTAATTTAGATAATTCTGTGACGAAACATACAAATAGATATAAGATTATTTATTATCGCCAATGCAAAATCATTTTCTAAAGTTTTAAACAAATAAATAGTAATTATGAATCACATAATAACTACTTTGCAAAATGTAACATTCTTGGGAAATTTCTTATTTTAAGAAAGTTATTATTTAAAAAAAGATTAGTTATTTATTACTGTAATTACAACAATAATTTGTATCTTACCTCTTTTACTCCTACTAAAATATAAGTGAAATACTGAGAATGTCTGCCTTTTTCCACTGTCAAAATAAATTTATAGTCTATACTTCAAAATGCGAAAAGCGTCAAATCGTCAATAAAATTATATTCCACGTTTTATCAACAGATTCTTAAATTTCATTAATAAAATATAAACATGTTAAATCCTTGAGTTGTTTACCACAGTTTAAAGTGTACTGAAATAGTGTGTCATTGATTGTGTTCATTGAAAAGTAACCCATAATGGCAAGGTCGCCTAAGGATGATCCGATATACAATGATATGAAACACAATACATGGAACTATCATGCGGAAACCGCTGAAAACTGTGCACCTGGCGCTTTAAATGAGAGAAACCAACCGCCAATCTCATCAAACCCGAGCGTCATGAGCGATAATAGTATGTACGTCACTCAGAATTTCGTCAACGATGTTTATTTGAACAAGCATACTTACAATGTGCAACCAGGCGATGCCGCTGCCAACAAAGACGAGAAGATACCTTACAACAGCATGCCGAATGTACTTCGCGCTAACCAAAACTATGCTATGCTCAAGCTGAGTAATGGACAGTTCATGCGTGTGTTTTATGACGAGAACAATCAACAACTAATTGTACCTATGTCTGGTCAGTATGAATTGTTTAATCATAATCAAGGATTAAGGGATCCCTTACAGATACCCCAGCCCTCACATCTGTTCACATTGAATCAAGACTTCTCTATGAACAACAATAATCTCCATATACCACAAACAAATACAGCTCGAGGAAATTATCAGGAGAATGTGAATAACCAATTGCCCACTTCAAACTTCTTGAAAGATTTATTGGGCAACTTGGAACCTAATTCCACAGGTACATACTCACCTTTTGGACAAAATTATCCTCTGAATCATCCAGATGCTTCCAACATGAACATACTTATGAATAACCCTGTAATTGAGCCTTTAAATAATCAGGTATTACAACCTGAAAATTCTCCAAAGAGAAATGAAAATAGCCCTCTTGCTGATACCAGCACAAAAAAGCGTATTGTCGCAGAAGTTAAACCTATGCGTCCAACATATTCAGATGTGCTAGCAAAGAATACAAAAAATACTCTTCAAAATGAGACCACACGTAAAGTAAAACCACAGAATACAGAAATAAAAACAGTCAATAATAAATCTAATATCAAGCCTGAAAAACTGTCTAATATCAAACAAGATGGCAGTAAACACAAAAATGAAAAGAAACATAGCACCAACACCATATCGTCAGGTAGTGAGTCTGGAGACATCAACACGGATGATAATGAGAAACGTTCTAAACCAAACAAAAAATCTAAGAACAAACGTAATATCTCCCGAAAGTGGTCTTCTTTAGATGACATCACTAATGAAGAAGATGCAGGCTACAGTCATGGCAATGAAAGTCAGTTTGTGTTTATTGAAAACCATGAAAAGCCTTCAAAAAGGAATAAGAAAAATGACAGTAAAACTAAGACATTGGACAAGAATGGAGTAACTGAGGATGAGTTTAAACTTGATGAGGAAGATGACCAGTCACAGTTTGTCATTCAAGAAGGACAGAATGACAGTGCAAGGGCTAAAAAGAGAAAAGATGGACGTAACGCAAAAGTTATTAAACCTGTGCAGGATAAGAAAAAGAGTCAGTGTAAACAGAGAAGGAATAAACCAGGATATTTGGGATTAGCTCAGAATTATCTGGAACATTGGGGAGGAGCAACATGGAAGGCTTTGGTCTGGTTTATTTATCTACTCTCCGATATATGCCGCATGAGTTTTCATCTATCCTTTGACTTGTAAGTAACTTAAATATTAATTTGAAATTGATTTTTTAGCTGTATATTAATAACATGTTAGTGGTTAGTGACCCTGATTGCTAAGCCAGAGGTTGCAGGTTTGATTCCCACCTAGGACAAATAATTGTGTGATGGGCATGTCAATTTGTTATATTTCTAAGTGTGTATTATCTATAATATGTATGTATTTATAATATATATAACTAAGTTTATCAGTAGTCTAGTTACCATAGTACAGGCTCTCAAAAACTCAAAAAGTTCTTATTTTTGATTAATCTTAAATTTTGACACGATATACAATACAATATGCTTCAGAGTTGGGTTTTATCTATTTTTTGCAACCACAATGTGCTGTGGCAGGGTGCTAGTTAGCTAATTTATCATAATTATTATTATTTATTTTATATGATCTGCTATGATGAAAATGATCGCTGCCAGACCGGACTGCGCATTCCAGAGATACCGGGTGGGGACAGTCATAGGTCAATACAAATGATAAATGGAATAGAATTAAAAATATAAAATACTATTGTTACTAACACTAATACTAACATAAATATGGACTTTAGTCAGGAATAGTTTATTATTATATACTGGCACTGTCAATACTTTGTACAGTACAAAAGTATGTAAATGAGCATTGAAAATGTATGTTTTACTAGCTTTTGCCCGCGGCTCCGCCCGCGCGTATAAAGGTTATCGCGGTAAAAAGTAGCCTATATCTTTCCTCAACAATCAAAATTCTCCATGCCAAATTTCCTCAAAAGCAGTTCAGTGGTTATTGATTTCCCATACAAACTTCCATCCCCTTTTCAATCCCTTAAAGGAATTGGTCTCGGAACTGATTTCTGGGATGAAAACTATCCTATGTCCTTTCCCGGAACTCAAATTATTGCTATACCAAATTTCATCTGAATTGGTTTAAGTGTGAAGAGGTAACAGACAGGCACTCTTTCGCATATATATTAATATGGATCAGGATCATTAGATGTATACATATTACTCATTGTATGTACTGATTTTGCTTAATAAGGATTGCCTTTTGAGTGTATATAGTCAATATAATTATGTATATCTTTAATAAACTTGATATCTCTGATGTAAAAAGCTAATATGTACTTTATTATAAAAACACCCATTATGAGTTTCCCTAAAGTATTCTATACTAAACAATGCTGTCAGAATTCTCTTCAAAATAACTTGGCTACACTTTCTATGTCAATCTATCATCATCATCTTTTAGTAGTTCACTGCTGGACATACTATACCATTCTGGCTAGACGGGTTGGTATACCGTTTGTTTCGAGATTTCAAGTTGTCCTACTTGGTATGCTCCCTTAGTAGGCTCTTACTTCAGCCGTGGGATGAATTCGGGTTGCGACACTCCGTATTCTTAATCCTTCACCACACGGTGTCTGTCTATATTATTTGGGTATATCCAACATAATTTCTCCACCACCTAATTAGACTAACACATCGTCGTCATCTTTAATAGTCCACTGCTGGTCTAGGCTAGGCCTCTCCTAGACACTAGACTGGGAGAGGCCTAGCCAGAATTCAATCCCAATCAATCAATTCAATCCCAATTCAAAAAATGTGAAGATATGTACTAACATACCTCCACATTTTTTTAATTTGCGATCCAAGGGACATACATAATAACTTTTTTTGTGAGATCCAACACCGAAAATATTAAACTAGGATTCAAAACTGGGATCCAAGGAAAATAAACCTCTAAAGAAGCAGTTATAAATAACGAATTCATACAAGACCCAAATGGGACTTTTACACAGCGACATGACCGTGGGTCAATTTTAAATAAACCGTGATTTAATCTTACATTTATTACCTGTGGCCACCACCGGAGGCGGTTGGGAACAAATGTACAATAAACCTCCTTTCTAAGGAGAGGGCTACGTCCAGCAGTGGACTAGTGCTTGGCTGTTGATGTATACAATTTTGTACCGACGACTACCAGTGATGGCAGTTTTAATAGTGGCCGTTGGGAATAAGCCACAAATAAAAGTTCCCAAGGGAAGAGAAGATAACATTTATTGTTACAGAAACTGTTATTAATCCATACTCCCCTACTTATATTATAAATGTGAAAGTGTGGTTGTTTGTAACACTTTCACGCATAAACCACTAAACCCTTTTTTAAAAATTATTTTGCCAATGGAAAGTTACATTATCAGCGAGTAACATAGGCTACTTTTTACCACGAAAACCGACATACACGCGGGCGGAGCCGCGGGCAAAAACTGCGAAAAATGAGTATTTAGAAGAAATTCATTAACGTCTATACAAATAGATTACTGAGTAAACATGAATGAACATTATTATTATTTGTAGATAAGTGACCTATCGTCATAAATAAGCCCCTGTTCTCAGATATCATTGTTATTTCAAACTAACTATTTCCTTTAATTTCACCCACCCTCATGAACTGATAAACTCGATTGTAGCACAATGTTAAATAGTAATAATAATGATTTGTTTACTTTCTCATCACTAGTACGTATACACTATTATCTCTTAATATAAGTTAAAAATAACAAAATTTTAAAATTCACTTACATGTAAACCTGAATAGGTATTTCGCATGATGTTGTGCGGCCTCTCATATCACAGAACGGGCGAGCGGATAAGCGACCCTAGCCTCTTCAAACTGTCTCAATCCCGTTTCCCATCACAAGACTTCGGAGTCCTTCTCTCGAGCCCTAGCTCCTTCGGCCTGTCTGTTTTGTACCGTCTAAAAACGATCTTTGGGTGTTCTTTGTGTCCATCACATACCATTACACACATGTCCATTACCGTTTGTAAATGCTAACGCCACACAATTATATTTTTAAACTAAAAAAGGTTGAAGTGATCACATTTCCAAGCAGGTTTAAGGTCATAGCTCTTTAGAGCTCCCTCGACACCCGACCAGGACCGCCTCGCCTCGAGCGGTTAGTATTCTTCTTCTTCTACATCGACTCCGGATCGCGTCGCCCGCGTTGCCCACACGCGGACGGCAAGTGAACCACTCGTTGACCGCGCTGTCCTCAAAAGATTCACGCACGAGCGTCAAGCGTATTATCGTTTTCTAGTTAACAACGCGGCGTCCACACGTGGACAAACCGTCAACAACGAGTGGACAACGAGTGACGAGGTGGTGCTGGTCGGGTCTCGGATAGGTGTAATGAGCTATGATCTTAAGTGTTAAGTAGGCAACCGCCCGTGAATCTAGCCATCCAAACCCAAACACATTGAATTGACCCCAAATAAAGTAATGGAAGATGGTGGTGATTAAGTGTAGTTCACATCACATCACATCAACAGCTTATAATAGTCCACTGCTGGACATAGGCCTCTCCTGAGAAAGGAGGTTTTGGCCTACTATACCACGCTGGCCAGACGGGTTGGTATAGGGTTTGTGTCAAGTTTTCCTTCTTTTTACACTGCTGGTGTCCTGCGTTGTTTTTCCGCCCTTAGTCGGCTCTTACGACGCCCACGGGATGAATATTCTTAATCCGTCACTACACGGACTAGTGTAGTTACCTTATTTCATTTATTTTTTATCCAGGTGCACATCGGTGTTCACTCAGACGTATGTGAGCTCTCAAGCAGTTTGGCGCAGCAGTAAGGACTACATAAGCAGGCTTGGCGACAATAAATACTTGCTTTATATAGATCGAAAGTTTGGACATACGAGGCTCGGCTTTTGGAGGAAGTGGAAGTGGTTTAAAAAAGGTAAAGTTATTAATGTACAATACAATACACTTACATGCATGCACAGTACACTTTTTTCAACGAGTGAATATGAATACATGTACAATACACTTTTTTTGAGGGGTAATACCCTATACTATAGTATAATATTCTTTGCGCAGACTAGACTTCAATGCGCCTACATTATGATAAATTGTATCCAGTATACAGCTGCAATCTCCCCCCTCCCCCTCCCTATCTAAATATTCTAAATAAAATAGGCATTTGCCAAATCTGTTTCTAAATTACAGAGTGCTAAGGTTACAAATATTTATAAAACAAAACAAGCCAATTGAAATCGGTTCGGTCCTTTTTTGAAATCGAATTTGAATTAGAATATTCACCGTGAGCCACTAAAGGCGACACCAAACCTAGCTAAATGATTATTATTTTTTACTTTTGAACAGAAGTTGAAGCGGACAACGGAAATGATTCGACCAAACTGAACGCGAATATACCATTACCGGCGACCGGTGAAGAGGCAATGAAGAGACTGCTAGCTTGCAAGGGAAAAGATCCTTACAGGTAAAACAATTATTATTAATACACAAAACAAAAAGAAGTAATAATTAGATTTTATTGTTTGAAATTTCTCTGAAATGACGTTTCTTGAAATATCCATTGTATACTCGTAAATATTTTCGTATAAAAATTAGAAATACTAGGGGGAAAAAAACCAGATTTTCGCTATATACCAGACATTTTCACTTTATAATAAACTTACACCGAGCTAGTATTAAAATAATGGTGAAAATTTGATATTTCTCCTAACAATCCTTTTATATTTATCAATATGGCATGTAACGGTGTTAGGGCCGACAACAGTATATCTACATAACTTCGATATCGCTAAGTACTTGGTCTGAGGAGGTGTGGTGGCAAATGCTTCACATAAAAATTAAAAACCCCCGATACAGGAAAAAAACTTTAAAAATATGTAAGCCGCCATTTGGTGGCGGCGGCCATCTTGGACCGATTTTCATCAAATATAGTTAAGAACACTCCCGACTAATTCACCCTCCAAACAAAAAATCAATAAAAGAATTTTATGAATTAAGATATTTTGAGTCTGTGTTAAATACAGAAATCTTATTCTGTATTGAAAAATTATGAATTTTCAAAAATAATAATTGTGTGTATTGTTTTGTTCTTCCGACACATGTTTATGGATATGCAACATTCGTTTGGAAATGACCAAAATAAAACTAGAATACAATAAGTCTCTCTCTTTTCAGTATATTAGGTGTGAGCGTGACATGCACAGACGAAGAAATAAAGAGGTACTACAGACGACAGGCCTTCTTAGTGCACCCAGACAAAAACCAACAGCCTGGCGCTGAAGAAGCTTTCAAGATACTGCAACATGCTTTCGACCTTATAGGAGAGCCGGTAAGTTACATATCTTTGATTCCACACCTGCTTTAGATGTCCAATCTTACTACATGTGTAGGAATAAAAATTGTTGACACTAAGTTTGCAATTTACATAGATTATAAAGCCGAACAGTTTATTTGAACGCGCTAATCTCAGGAACCACTGATTGGAATTGAAAATTCTTTTATCGTCGGATAGCCCATTTATCGTGGAAGGCTATATAACATCACGGTACGACCAATAGGAGCCGAGCCGATCGAATGAAAAATGTTGCAAAAACGGGAAAAATGAGAGACGCAGACGAACTTGCTGAAGCTACACGAGTCACGAGGGATTACATCACAGATCATAGCGTATCTAAGATCATCCAAAAAATGTTCCCGAATGATGGTAAAATTTCTGTAAGCGTCGGAGTAAAGGTACCTATACAAAGTTAACCAACAAAGCCGGTTTCTTCGTCATCATCACATAAACAGCCTTTAATAGTCCACTGCTGGACATATGCCTCTCCTTAGAAAGGAGGTTTTGGCCTACTGGGTTCCTCATGTAGCGGTAAGCATCGACTCGTAAGTTGTTGTTTGTCGAATTTAATTCGGTGATGTGGTGCGGGCCCAGGAGCGGCGCGAGGCGTACGAGCGACGCGCGCTGGAGTCGCGCCACGTGGAGGCCGCCTGGAGCGAGCTCAGCCAGCTGCTCGCGCAACTGCACGACAAGATGGAGTTCGCCGCCAACACCATCAGGTATTCTACACTCTAATCACACACAAATACTCAGGCCTAGTGGTTAGTGACCCTGATTGCTAAGCCGGAGGTCGTTTGTTCGATTCCCACCTCACAAATATTGTGTAAAGAGGACGGTCATATGTTCTCTGTCTGCGTGTAATTTATCTACAATATGTATGTATGTATTTAGAAATATATAAGTATGTTAATCAGCAGTCTGGTTACCATCGTACGGGTTCTGTCTAGATTGTGAATTTTATTATTATAACTCATCCCACTCTTGTATTAAAAAATCGTTCAAAATTCAGTTGCAATCTACTCTCGATCTCACTAATGTCATAAAAGGTATTCTCGTAGTAAAGTATTACTAAGACCAGTAGAATACAGATTCAACTTTCGTTCACAATACAATTTGATCACATTACAGTCAAACGTTCGATGTTTAATACTTTACTACGAGATCGAGAGTAAATCGGCACTATATTATAAACGAATTGTTATTATCAGAATTAACCTGCCGGAGTTTCTGAACGTTACTCTCTAATGTCTTTAAGTAGTAATTTTAGCACGTAAACATTTATTTTAGATGTACAAATTGCGGTCGCCGACACAAGCGAGTGTTGACGGACCGGCCTTGCTACGCAGCCAGGTACTGCGTGCAGTGCAAGATCAGACACTCCGCCAAAGAGGTAATCATTCATACACAATGTTAAAACTTTATTGTACGTGTATCTGCACTTATTTAGCACTAGCTGACCCGCGCAACTTCGTCTGCGTCTCTCAATAGTAATAAATTTTCTCCGTTTTTGAAACATTCTTCATTGGTGCTCCGCTCCTATTGGTCTTAGCGTGATGATATATAGCCTATAGCCTTCCTCGATAAATGGGCTATCTAACACTGAAAGAATTTTTCAAATCGGACTAGTAGTTCCTGAGATTAGCGCGTTCAAACAAACAAACAAACAAACTCTTCAGCTTTATAATATTAGTATAGATTCCATTTTCATTTCTTGTATTCCTGACATTAAAGAAGTAAATCTGTATTCTTGTGATACGAATATACTAGACATTTAACCTTAAGGCGAGGTATGTGTAAGGAAGGAACCTCAGCCATATTCTTATTTTTACTATGTAGTGTTTAACTATAGTAGCAAACAAAGACATTAAAATCCATATTGTGGAGAAACCGGTATAATGGCCCTCCAACCCAAAGGGAGGATCCGAGGCGATTATGCCTGGCGCCCAGCGGTCGATGTTGGGTAGTTTTAAATATGATAGTCGGCGAGAGAATGATCTATACTGCGATTCAGGAGTCCGTAGTTCGGTGTGTCTTCGTTAGATGGCGCTGTAGTATGTTTCTTCGTTTCACCGTAATGGAATCAAAATAGAATGTACCCATCTTAAGACGAGTTTCCCATGTTATTATACCTCGTTGTTACAGGGTGACATATGGGCAGAGTCGAGTATGATGGGACTACTCGTGATGTACTACGCCTGCATGGACGGCGCCGTGTATCAGATCACGCAGTGGGCTAGTTGTCAGGTAAATTTCCACCAAAATATTGTGGACCTCAATATAATTTTATTTTTAGATTAATTTAGGAATTCCTAAATTAATCTAAAAATAAATATGATTAGAAGAATCGGACATACAGGCTCCGAGGCTAGTAGTTGACGAGATAATAATATGTTAGTAAAAAAAGGTTTATTTACTACTGTTTTTCGTATTCTATTCACGACGTAGTTATAAATTCCACTTTAAATCCCTTATGGGGTAAACTTCAGATCCTTTTTCCAGTTTAACTTACTGTAGATTAATCTTTGCGGACGCCTACAGTGTCAATCCACTAAGTTACCCGTCAGTACACAATATTTTATAACATTATTAAAGGGACACTGTAGTCCATTCGCGTTAAGAAAATAGTGACGATACGATCAAGCCCGACCCTGACCAATCAGATTTCATACGAAACGATAATTTCTTGGAACCTGATTGGTCGGGGGGCGGGGCTTGATCGATGCATCACTATGTTCTTAACACAAATAAACTAGTTCTATACATCGGTATAGTCAGCTTGTGACTACAGACAGTGTAGTGTGCCGTAATAATAAAATTTTCTTACTAACTTAAATTTTAAATATGTACAGGAGTGGTTTTAATCTTGGAGAAACTTATTTTGACAGAAAAAGAACTTGAAGCAACTGAGGCCCGACTGTCACGTGGTACAGTACAGAATCGTACTTGGGAATAAGGCGGCCGCAGCCACAGATATCAACCAGCGACCATCTACCGGGTACGTAAAGTACACTACACGCATTTACAAGTTTATATAGTGATATAATCTTGCCTTTGCAAAAAATAGGTTTGCCTTTTGATAGATGTATATATTAGTTGTTAATAATTCCCAACATTCAAAATTTAAATAGCTTAAATATGTAACTTCTTCTGCACTTTCTTCACGATTCGTTTATTAAGTCCAGGTGTTCAATTGTGTTTTCATTTTACTTACAGTCACGATCCTAACCTCGAAGAGTTCCTCAATAACCTCTATAACAAGTCCGGTGTGTCACCAAACGCAACCAGCGCCAAGCAGTCACCCACCGAACCCGCGGACGCCAAGAAGCGACGTAATAAAAAACCTAAAGCATAAACGCTCCTGCTATTAAAAAAATAAAATTAAAAACCAAGCTGTCAAAATAAAATGAATTCGCGCGTAATTCAAATATAGAATTACGAATTTTGACGCCTGCCTACCGTACTGTGAAACAATGCCTTTAAAAAATAAAGAAACTATAATTAATACCAGACAAAATACTGTTCTATAGATATTTCTAAATAAAAAATTGTGTGGCTAAAGTGACGCTTGAAGGATAGATTGTGTAAGCTAATAACTACATGTATTGCGATGACGTTGTACCTATTTAGGTTAGATACTTTAACAATTTCGATAAGAAAATTTCAAGTTTTTGCTAGTTAACATATTATTAGTTACTACCATTATTCGTTTTGCTTTATTTTGTGATAAATCAGAGATTTTGAATTTAGATTTTATCAAGTATTTCTAGGTTCCATATAAGTCGGCAGAAGTTTGTAATGTGTCATTCATAAAGGATATATTATCAAACGATGAATTGTGTTACATTTCATTTGAGTTAGTCGACCATTTGTTGGAATCTAAAACCAGAACTATATTAGATACAATTTGGTTTTGGTGTATTTGTGCTATATTTTCCCTTGATATAAAACCTTGGCCCACAATGTAAAAAAGTAGAGAGGCCCATTTTTTTTGAGGCAATTCTCGCATCAATTGAGGAGGAAGGAACAAAGAAAGTTAAATGCTGCAGTATTTAATTATTTAACTATCTGAGTTGGTTTTTCGATCAATTATGTATGTCACTGTTAAAGATGCAATAATTCCACGTACGTCCTACTTGTCCGAGGCTGCCGCTTCTGGTGACTAAAACGTTTAACCAGACACCTCTAGCCGTCAACTGTCCGATGAACTCACAGTTGTAGCAATTCACGTTACATCGTCTGCCGAATTACATTGAAACTATGTCAAACATAAGCCAACTCGAGTCATTAGAAATAAAGGTCATGTCTTTAAACATTGTTAAATGTCATCATTAAAGAACTTGACTGTCTTTATTGTAACGGGTTCAGATATTACCTGCTTACTATTTTTAGGTCAATAATACTTAACGAAATATAATGTTGTCGATTCAGAACAAAGCACTTTAAAGTAAGTTTTCTAAGCTCGCACTAGTTTAAAATAAAGCATACAAATGTCGTTAGATACACATTACTCGAATCCTTAAACACATCAACGACCCAATGAAAATATTGAGCCCCTCTTTTGATAGTCTTGACATAATTTAATACCTAAAATTATGCAAGTTTTTTTTTGTAAAAGGAATATCTGAACACCTTATATCACGAGACTTAATTCCATGCGAAATTCTTCTTACATAACAGTATATGTACCTCCTAGCTATACAAAGATTAGGTGAAACCCGACAAAGCAGCAGGAACTGCGTGAAAATACTCTTTAAAAAATTAATGTACTTTATTTAGGTCGTATAATTTCCACTATATTACACCGAATAGTACAATTAGTTTGCATTCAGTAATAGTTATTATTTATGTTATTGTAATAATATGGCCGTGTTAGCACGGACGCAGAGAATGCAATAAATTGATGTTTTTTTTTTCTCAAAGTTAACACTATTTTTTGTACTATTTAAAATAATAACTTGAAGATCTTGACAACTTTCTTCAAGTTACTAAGATATTGTAAGTCGACAATGCTTTACTATTACAGTATCTATAAGTCTTGAATCGCAAAATATCTTACTTACTCTTAGTCATAAAAAACAACAGGACCATTACCATTTAATGTTAGTTTCTGTGTTAACCATGTTCGCACCAATTCCGTACACTTCCGACATGATACGAGTTTATTTAGGTGAGCACTGTTTGACCAGTTTGCTTACAGTGTCGGTTATGAAGGGCTTTAGTCACCGTAGTGTTAAAATGAGATTACGTTGTCGACTTACAATGAGTTGTAAGTAAAATATTTCACAATCGTTTCACTGCCTTATGAGATTATATCAGGTAATGTTAGTTTAGTGACGAAGAGATTGCTACCCTGATGTTCACCGTGCGTAGGCCTCGCGCTTCATGTGTCAATAAAGATGTGGAAACGTAACATGGCTTTTATTTTGTTACTCACTGCCCTAAGAACTGATGCGAGGGAAATGTATTTTATATAAATTTTCATGTTTTCAATATTGTATATTTATAAATTTTCATGCTTTGTTTTTAGGTTATTCCGTACATTGGAATAAAAAAGCAGAATGCTTACGTGATCACTTATTTGGCTGTCGATGTCGGTCTGTCTGTTTGTCACAGCCAATTTTGTATGTACGGCAAATTTTAGGATCGAGTAAGTTGACGTTTGGTAAACATCAATAAATGGTTTTTGTTCGCACCAACTGAGTATTTTCACTGCCACCCGCTACTCAAACCAGTTTTCATTTCGTACAAACAGTCACTTTGCGTTCAAACTTACATCTATAGTTAGAATGTTTAGAAAAAACGTGTTCATTGTAATGTCAAATTTATTAATATTTCGAACTACGAACAAGATCGCTACGATAAATGCATTTTTAAAGTGAAAACTTCTTTAGCGGCGTTGTACACTTTTTTTTGTAATGGGTAAAAAATGTTAAACTCGCGTCAGGACACGTGACCCTGATCGAAAATTCGTAAGACGGAGAGTAGACAGCCGACGCGGCGTAGGAGAGGCAGTATCCCCCTCTCTTTCTACGGCGCGGCGAAAATGTATGCCTGCGCCTGCTGTTTCGTTTAGGCGGCGCAGGGCGCTTGCGCGAATGTTCGTTTTTCTGAGAGATAAACTTTAAATGTAATATAAAATGTCATGTTTGTGTACGATAGCGCAATAAATAAATATTGTATTCTACCACATAAATAATAGTACTTTTATACTGATATTAAAGCAATTCGTGCAAAATTATTCCCTAACCATTCCAAAATATCAAAAATGCACAACGTTAATATTCAAGTTTTCACTTCTGTCGGCACTCCCGGAGTGCAACCCGTCGTTTTTTTTTTATCATTACATATTTTATATAAAAATTGAGTACTGGTACATTATTATTATATGTGACAGTTAGGTACTTGTTATTTTTAACCGACTTAAAAAAAGGAGGAGGTTCTTATCTTCTAAATATAATGCAAACGCCTGATACATATCAACTTACAGAAATAGATAAAATCTCATCCTCTAACGACCGTTTTACATCGGATCTTTTATTAAACCACATTCATTCAAAATATCTAGGGTTAAGGGCGTGTTCATCGTAACAAAGTGTCTTATAAAACTAAGAGAATGAAAACAAAATAAATAATTTCTACATTTATTAATAGTATACATTTTATTACTCCATCATATCATTATTTTTTTTATCTTTATCGGTGACAATGCAATTCTCGTAAGTCCATTTAGGGAACATTCGCTTGTACAGATTCAGCAAAACCGTATCCTGAGATCTCAGCTGATTATCGAACACGCACTTCATATGACCGTGAGTACCTGCGGATAATTAAAATTTAGTTAAATGTCTGTCTTATAGACTTACTTAACCAGAATATTATAAAGCTAACAAGTTTGTTCGTCTCGTTGAACGCGCTTATCTCAGAAACTACCGGTTTGAATAAAAATAATGTAGCCCATTTATCAAGAAAGGTTATACTATAACTACTCGTATATATAGAACATCACGCTAAGACTAAAAGAAGCCGGGTATCTATGAAAATATTGCAATAACTGGGTAAATTTATTTCTTTTGAGAGATACAGATTAGTTAGTATGTAAACCAGATAAGCACTTCTCGGCTGAGGGGATTTTTTAAAAATATATAGTAATTATAGAGGCGATACATCTGCGTTGGCAACACTAACAGAAAGTGTCATTACCCTAAATATAGGTGTTTGGTCTTGAAGAACACAACAATATATCAGGTTATGATAAAAACATAAAACACTTACCCAAAGGTTCCCTAATGTGTCCGGTACAACCATACTTTGTCCTAAGTTTGCAAGGCTTGAAATATAAGACATCTTCTCTGTTGAAGAACATAAATCTAATTACTGCAGACCTTTTGTTAACCTGAAATAAACCAAATGTTAAAAGTTGACTATGTGTTTAATATTTGGCAAACTATTATAGTACTTATTCACGAGAACTTCATTTCCCTTGACCGTTTGGTCTAGGGTCGCAGGGCTTAATATATTTTAGTCCAAAGTATCGTAAGTGAGAGGGTGCCATAACTGTGCTAATAAAAATTAACCGTAAGGCACTTTTTATAAACACTAACAACATATTTTGACAAACTGCTGAAGTCATGGAAAACATTCCCCTTCTCCCCGGATCGCGAAAGCGAACATACGTTTGCACTTTTTAAAAATTGTGCAAAATTTAATAAATAAATAAAATAAATTATTAAAATATTAAGTACGTATTTAAAATCATAAGTACTAGGCGCGTATAATTCACAAGGCGTGTCGCAATCTATAACAATCTATACCAAGGTAATTTACTTCTATTAATTATGCCTCCTGAAACCAGAAACGCACACCCCTATGTACACCTGTTGCGGAACAAAGTGAAAGCGTCACTGTTGCCACTTGCTCTCTACGGTATCGGCAAACTGGATCCTCCCCTGATCTGACTACTGTCGGGCAAGAGGCCAATATTAATACTCGTCTAAAACGTAAACACAGAGTGTGATTGCACGTTTCGTTTGGATGAAATACGTTCCTTGTTATCGACATCTACAGCTCAATCGGAAAGCAAGTTTTCAGCATTACAAATAGCAATCTCAGAAATGATTGCTCAAAATGCCGAGATAATGAATTCCATCAACTTAATATCTAAAGAATATGATCACATGAGGAATTTTAATGCACAGATATGGAGACTGAACTAGAGACCTTATATGCGTGAATTAGAAAAGAAAGTTGACTTTATGGAGCGTCAACTGTACTCCACATAAATAGCACGTACCTCAAAACCCTGGAGACAGTAAGGAGGACCTTTGTGCTATTGTGGAGAAGACTGCTGCCGTGATTGGGCATAACTTGAATTCATCAGAAATAAAGGATGTCTAACGAGTCAAAAACAAATCTACCGCGATAAATGTTGACTTCATAAGCGCAGTCACCAAATATAGTATCGTAAAAATAACAATAATAAACAAAACAAGCTAAATGCGACGCATCTTAAAGTGCAGGTCCCAGTAATCCAATATATTTATCAGCAAAATTTACGCCGAAAGCGCAACGCTTGTACTCTCTTGTTCTTGTATTGACTTACGAATTATACCCGACACTACACTTTTAATACAAACGTACAAAGCCTTAGCTGAATGTTCACCTGCTGTATATGTTCGTGGGGCTCAGCAGCAAAAACACACTTGATTGAAGTCGAAAGAGCACAACGTGCAGTACTTAAAGTACTCCTTTACCTACTATTCCGCCACCCTATTCATCTAGTGTATGAAAATTCTAAAGTTTTAAGCGTACGAAAGATGTTTGTCTATCAATGCATTCGGAAATATCGCACGCATCCAAGCTTCGGGTAATAGAAAAGAAATGTCCAATCCCAAGGGTTAAAAGCAAATTTGCTCAACAGCTATATAGTAACATAGCACCCAGGTTATATAGTAAACTTGACTTAAATTACAAAGCCAGAAATTTATCGAACTACCAAATTAAAAAATAAAATAAAATATGACTTAACAATTTAGCCTGCGATGATGTAGAAAGCGTATTGCTGGTTACAACGTAATTAAAGTTTAAATACACAAACACACAACTATACACACATGCACACGCAAAATTAACAAAATTTCTTTTGTAAGTATGCTTCAATGTTTCTTTGTACGTTCCACGTGAGAATTCTAATAATTTATTGTATCATGTTTTTGGGAAGGAACTGATCTCCGACATACAGCTCACGCTAGTTTGGGCATCAGGGCTTCCACTTGAACTTTGACTTTATTGATGTCAATAAAGAATTTGTTATTATTATTATTTACCTTATATGGGTGTCCTGAGAGTACAATCCTCTTTATAATCAATCTATTTGGATTACATGACAATAATACACCTGTTGCTATAAGTTGAAGTTTTGTGTTACTCTTTTCCTGTAAATAAAAATGGAAGAAGAAGATAAAATATGACAACTAAAGTACAAGTGAAGTGGAATAAAGAAATGAAAAAAAATCACATCATAATCATCATATCAACAGCCTTTCTATCTTAGTTAGGGATTAAGAATACAGAGTGTCACCACCCCTATTCATCCCGTGGGTGTCGTAAGATGCGACTAAGGGAGCGAACTACGCAGGACAACAGCACTGCAGAGAGAAGGAAAACTTGACACACCCTTCTGGCCAGCTTGGTATAGTAGGCCAAAACCTCTTTTCTAAGGAGAGGCCATGTCCATCAGTGGACTGTTAAAGGCTGTTGATGTGATGTGATGATGACTATTTTTGAGGTGGAAACCACAGAAATGGTCAGTATTATATTTATATATCAAACTAGATTTCTGCCCCTTTGCTAAATACCGATATTTTATTCAAAATATATTATGGAATAACTCACCTTAAAGCAAAGTACTGATGATGGACTAAACTGTATAGGTGCAAAGAAGGTTGCGACACACGTTGACGCCGGTTGGAAAAATCGTTCATACTAAAAAAAATACAATTCATGCCAAATTAAATAAGTATCGAAATTTAGTATCGTTAGATTCGCACAAAACAGTATTTTCATTATGTACTAATGCTTAGAGTACAGACATGTCCGAACCAAGTGTCTCAAATTATCAATTTTATTAGCCGCGATATGGCACACAATGTTGTTTAAATCAATTCGGTTCACAAGAACGGTTCACGGTTCACAATGCACAAGAAACGATACTGTGTAATACTTGTATTATCACACGAAGTATTACTAGTATTAAATGATGATGATGATGATTACTAGTATTAGAGTACTATCATATTTAGTGCGACAAAGTACGAATACGTAATTTAAATAGTAACCCGTGACTAGTTAGTAGGCTAGTTGACTCAATTTGAAAACTTGAAATTTGAAAACTTGTAGGCTAGTTGACTCAATTTGAAAAATATAGTTTTTTTGGGATAAAATAAATTTTAAAGTATATAATTAATGTATACTTTAATATTTATTTTATCCCAAAAAAACTATATTTTAAAGTAAAAGCAATATTTACATTACGTATTTTGTATTAAAAAAAGAGTTAAATTTCCCTTGAAAACGCTGAATAGTGTCATGGCGTTTTGAATGACGTCACAGTCTGCGAAACAAAACTGTTTACATTTGTGTCCAGTGTCAACTGAAACTGTATTAAGGTGAGAAAATATGCTAACAACGAAAAACATTAAGGAGTAACCTGCTCTGTTGTATGAAAACGTGAACAACAACAATGATGTTTTGCGTGGCGTGACGTAAAACTTTCTGATTGGTGTTCGCTGTCACGTGACTTAATGCGTATTTTGATCGAATTTATTTTTTAAAATATTAATAATCTTTCACTTTTATGAGAAATAGACTGGTTTTTTCTTATCTATGTCTCTTCATTTATAATTTGAAACTATAAACCAAGCAATTTGTTGGACACAAGCCTATTCTGTCATACTAACCTTATGTTTCGTTCCATTGGTGTGCTGACTAAATATAGGATTAACAATGAACCTCCTGTAGCCCACTTGGAAGATCAATCTCTCCTTGCTCTTAATAGGCTCGTCACTGGCGCCAGTACGTTTCAGAACCACATTCATCAGAGACATCTTCTGTTCATGGGGTAGTAATCCAAAGACTGAAAGAGGTGCACCTGCATTTGCACTGTGGAACGCCTCCCAGTGGTCTTGACGCACGTCTTTCACGTGGATTGTGATGTAGAAACCATACTGTGCAAAAAGATTAAAAAAAGAACATTATATTTTGTTACTCAATAGTCTTCTGGTTTTCCTTTTTTTTTTAAATTCAGCACTAGAAGCAGTTTTGCAGTTATTAGCTATGGAATGTTTACGAAGTAATTAAGAACGAACTGATAAAGCAACCAAAATTGTTGGGTAACAACCGACCAGCTTTTAGAAATCCATATTCAACACTATAAAGAACTGAAAACTGACACATTTAAGTAATTAATAGATATTGACGGCACCATAGCTAGACGAAAAAAAAAATGATAAAAAAAAATCGGCTCACCATATTAACCAAACTATCTTCCAATTCCTTAAACACCCTCCTCCTGGTTCTATCGTAGTTCTCAAACTGAAATATCCTTGCATAATCTTCGGGCAAATTTTCTTTAACATCCCAAGGCGATGTTCTAAAAGATTCCAATCCCCGATACCGCATGAACCGTTCCTTAGCCGGCATATTTTGAGGGGTGTCAACTTCATCAGGAAACTGTTTGTCCTCTTTAGCTGCTGCGAGTTTCTGAAGCATTGTATGTTCCTCGTGAGCATCGATCGTTTCATCATACTTGTCATCAGTAGGACCAACTTCTGATTCTGTAACTGATTGGAAGTCATTGTCTTTTTCATTTTCTTCTTGATCAGAATTGTCCTCTTCACAAGACATAAATGCTTCGTCTTCAGCTTCATCATCACTTTCATCGTCGTCTTCTGAACCTCCTTCGGCGTCAGACTCCACAATCCATGCTGCTTGATAATCAGACCAGCCTTTGGGTACTTTCTTAATCTTTTTCTTTTTAGTCTAAAAATGTAAAATAAAAAAGATATTGATTTTGTTATAAATTGCTAATTTATGCTATTACTAATCAAATATTTATCCTTTTAACTATATTTTTTATTGTGTATTACAATTTCTCATGAGAGATTTAAAGTGATATAATTATAGAAAATATAAAAAATAGTTATAATTTCAAAAACAATATCTAGTTTAGTATAATAGTTTTGTGTAGTTATAACAGTTGTGTATAGTTTTATTTTAGTGTTTAATCTAGCCTTAATTTCCTTGTGTAATTTATATACTTTAAAAATTAAATTGTGAACTTACATGTACAGTTTAGACATTGGTAATTCTGTACTCACCTTTAATTTGAAAGCTTACACATATATATTTGTATGAATGTTTTTTTACTAAAATAACAGTCCTGTAGTTACATATAATATATATATATATAATTATTATTATAAATTATTAGTATTGATGAAAATAAAATGAGTCATAAACTTACCTCTAAATTAGCTTGTTCTATTTCTTCTTCTGTTGGCCAAGTTTGCTCTGCATCCATAGGATCAGGAATATTCTCTGATACAAGACTCTCCTGTTTTGTTGGGTCTGCAACTTGCAACACTGACAACTTCATGACATCAGCCTCCATTACTGCATCACCAGAGCTGGCGTTTTCTTTACCTGTACTTAAAGGATGAGGATCTTCCGTCCATCCATCAATCCTTGACATCTGGAAGTCTCCAAAGCCAGTAATATGCAAAAGACCATTTACATTTAATGGCATACCACGTAAATATCCGCTTATTTTAAGAGTGCCATTCTCGCCTTCAGCATCAGGTACATATTCAACCTCCTCAGCAAGCATATAAGGTCTTTTTTCTCTATGATGTATGATGTTACGTTTTTGGTTGCCAATTCTACGTAGCAAGTTTAAACCATCTGAGCTCTTATCTAGTTGCATTACTCTTTCTTCTGGAAGCCACTTTGATATTAATTTTTGTACGTTTTGTTTTTCTGTTGTACGCTTCTTTGGGTTGACTCCTTCAATATCCATTGCAGCCACAATAGGTGTAGGCATTCCTTGGGCCATTGCTAAAGCAAGGACTTTCTCACCCCATTCGTCAACAGGCTCTTCAAGAGCAGAACTGATAAATAAAGCAGTATCTGCAATTTTTAGAGCATCCAACAAAGCAAAATCATTATAGACCTCAGGACAAATGAAAGAGAATCTCTGTTTGAAATTTGGTAAGCTGAAATATAAAATAAAAAAAAAACATGAATTTACACACATCTCAAGTGAAAAATTCTAGGGTTTATCTGCTCACCGATAGGTGGTATCCGGTGGTGAAATGAAATGAAATGAAATGATATTTATTTCTGTAAGTAAATCTTTTCAGATATTTTTACAAGTCGGACTTTATAGCTAGAAGGAGCCGGCATTTCCTAAGACTCACTCTGGGAAGAAACGCCGAAACAAACCACAGAGGTGTCTTTTTTTTTTAAGTCCGTAAACAAAGTTAAATAAAACTGTGCGAGTACAGTATAGGGTCTGGATAGGCCTTTTGAGGAAAGGACCATAGTTTTGAGTCAACCTGTCCATACAGACGGCATACAGGCTCCAGCCATCATGTAGCCTAACCGATATTGGTCAAGATCAACGACCCGAAGCATGACTACCGCCAGCAGGACATTTGGGTAGGCCGTGGAAACACTCAAAACCACCAGAAAGATAATAAAATATGAATTAACATTACAAGCCTACACTGTACTCACATTTACATACTTACACAAAAATAAAAAAAATACTATACAGTTCAAAGTCAACGAAAAATAAAATACAAAACAAAATACCAAATACACCAAAAAAAAAAAAAAATTAAATGTCCATCACTTTCAAACTTAACAACAAAGATGTCTACGTAAATGTGGGAGTGAGCAGCATCAATCCCAAGCAAATTTGTGGTGGTGGTGCTCAAGGTACAGGAAGTCAAAAAACTACATGGCATCTCGACTACTTTGTGTTGTTGAATATGTTCGTTCGGATTTATTGTTGTAATACAATTAAATTAAAACATGACAACTAATAAAACTCTCAAGCAGTGGTTAGGCGACGACTTGCTGTCTAAGTAAGTGCAATAATAAATCTAAATTAAATATTTATTGTTTGTACACTATTAAATATTTCATATATGTATAATAATTCTAGAATATGTCAGACTGATTCCCTTCACTTCAAATAAATTTGTAGATATCAAAATGGGCATGTCCCTCCTAGGTAATTTGGTATATTCTCCCAGGTTATCCTTGACGATTTTATCATTATTTGAAAAAATAAATATGTTTGGATAAAAAATCAATAATATCTATTGCCTACATATTTTTATTCCACAGTTGTTACAATTTTAAGCACAGTCTAATATATGGTAAAATTGATTTAAAATGCTATAGCAATTTTCTTATCATTAATTGATTACTGATTACGATTTTTGATTATGTTTCAGCAATTGAGGGTTTAGGCTCCTCATCACTAATATAATAAAATTATGTTTTATCTGTGTCAGCTTTGCAGCGAGTTGCAGTAAATAGCTCATGTTAACTCAATGATACCATACCATTTCATATACGAATGTACAAATTTAGTTTAATTTAAGACAAGTGAAGACAGATGGGGGAAGAGATATTTTGCCATAAGCTATTTGAACTCTAAGGAACTATTACTTTTACTAGGTCTTTGAGTAACTTACCTAAGATGTAACATGCCATTAGGAGCTTGTGTAACTACTGTTCCTTCAGAACACGTCTTCAATATGGTCAGGGCGGACTGAACATCCAGCTGGGCGTTCAAAGGCACCACACACACTAAAAACGGGGGATTCCGAGTACCGCCCAGAGCACGTTTCTTTGATAAAACCTCTTCACGCTTGTTCTTGCGTATCTGCAGCGCTTGGTGACGACGTTCATCTTTTTTCAGTATATGTCGATTGCGCCGCACAAATTCCTTAACATTTACCTTGCCTGTAAAGGAAAATTTTCAAAACCACGTAGAAAATCATAATAATCGAATGGTCATGAGAGACTACTTGTACTAACCTTTAACAGCTGCTGCTATTCCACGTTTAGAGCGATGACGAGACTTGTGAGCCTTATTGCTCTGCTTTAGGTTGCCCGACCGGTGTGCTCGTTGCATTTTTATTAATTAATGAAAGCTACCAAACTGTTATTTACTAATACGAGCACATGTTGCAGCGAAAGAAGAGTTGTCAAATTTGACAATAAGGAGTAAGGATGTTCGATTCGATCCGATCCGAAAATCAGGTGTACTTGTATTGGACAAGTACACCTGATTTTTGTATCAACTCAATTCCCTTCGATCCGTATACACATACATGAAGGATCAGATAGAAAAATATTAATTTTCATTTTGTTTTAAATTTAAGGTAAACAAAATTTAACCCAAGAAATTTACTCCGTATTATACCACGTTCCTTAACTACAAAGTATGGTCTTACTAAAGGTGTCTCAGTAAAATTGCACTTTTTAAATTCAGAAACATTTTATTTTCGTGCAAGTGGCAACTCTGAAATGTGACAGCTGTCACCTATGTTTTGTCCGATTATTAAAAATGTAGCGCTTTTCGAAAGAACAGCGTGTTATAATTTGTGAAAACTTATTACAAAATGCGGAAAGTTATGCTGAAACCGTTTGCAAACTTCAGTGAGATACAGCCACATCTCTGTGTAAAAGTCATGGAAAATTTCATGAAAAGAGTAATGACCTGCAATCAGAGCCGTGGGCCATTTGCCGGATATTTTATTCCATAGTTAACCGGCACATGTCTTCTTTATAATCCGTGATTTTATTTTAAAATTAAAAAGTGTTCTCTCACTGAGACACCCTTTACAATAAACAGATTCATATTTCCCTATTATAAACATTTCTAGAATATAATAATAATAATAATAAACAGGAACAGAAACGCTTCTTTGGCCGCCTAAAAAAGTATTAAATAGTCTTTTGTCAGGTGGTAATAAGGTAAGAGCCTATAATGATTGGGTCATACCAGTTCTAACCTACTCTTTTGGCATACTTAGATGGACTCAGGCTGAACAAGATGCCCTGGATAGAAGAGTTCGTATATTGCTTACTGCGTACCGACTGCATCATCCACGTTCATCGGTGATGAGGTTATATATTCCATGAAAATGTGGTGGTCGTGGTTTTCTAAATGCTAAGACCCTCCACAATCGTCCACCTCAGGAATTACTTCCTGTCTGTTGATGTGGATATGCATAGGGATGTAGTAGCAGTTGATAACGGATTCACTCCGCTTGGTCTAGGTAAAGAGAACTGGCGCAAATTGGCAGTACTCAAAATTACTGATCGTGAGGAGATATGGAAGGGCAAAGAGCTGCATGGACGTTTTTATCGGGCCTGGAACAGGCCTGAGGTAGACCAAGTAGCGTCTGTATTCTGGCTACGATTCGGGGAAACTGAAGGTTTTGTCTTTGCAATTACTGATGAAGTTGTTATGACGAATAATTATCGGAAGTATATCCTGAAGGACTGCACAATAGACATTTGTCGGGCATGTCGTTGTCCTGGTGAAAGCCTCAGACATATAATTTCGGGTTGTTCTCGTCTTGCCGACGGCAAGTACTTGCATAGACATAACCAAGTGGCCAGGATAGTCCATCAGCAACTTGCTCTCAAGTATAACCTTAAGTTACCGTATTAAAAATATGTGCCCGACCCAGTTCTTGAAAATGGTCGTGCAACGTTGTACTGGGATCGCCCTATTATCACTGACAGGACTATTGCCAATAAACCTGATATAGTGGTAATAGCAATAGACCGATTAGAGCGCCGAGCTATGATTGTTGACATGTGGGACATGGACGCTGTTGTCATTGTACCGATAGTCATATCGACGTATGGATTAATTGCTAAGAGCCTCGACCAACATCTTCAGGGCCTTGCGATAGGCAGCTGGATTAAGGGCCTGATGCAGAGTGAGGAGATTTCTGTCTCTGGAGTCCTAACCACCGGTACCTTGGTCCCTGTACCCGATACCGATGGGACACCATTTTTTATATTTTTAAATGTATTTTGTTTTTTTTTACATAAAGGTATTTAAAAACGTAATTTATATGTATATTTAATGAAATAAAGAGAATAATAATAATAATCCTCACACATCTCACACACGACAGTCGCTAGTCAATCCAAAACTAGGCAGAGCCTGTACTATGATAACCACACTGCTGATAAACATACTTATATATTTCTAAATACATACATATTTAGTTAAACTCACTCAGACACAGAACAAACAATAGTGCTTATCACACAAATATTTATCCTGGGTGGGAATCGAATCAACGACCTCAGGCTCAGCAGTCAAGGTCACCACTAGACCAACAGGCCTGAAAAAACTTTGTACAATCAACAACAACAAATATATTTTAATGTACCGTCAATTTTGACACGATTACTTGTAATGACAAATCATAAGCCGTTTAGGGAACACCAAGTAATATAGTCCTACGAAACTTATCCGTGGTAAGAACAGAAACGTCTGTGCCCTCCGAACGTCTTTTCACGTCAGCCAATCAATGAAAGACTGACGCCTCGTTCCAGAGCGTTATTTTAAAGATTTCCAAATTTTTGCTTTTGTTTTATAAAATGTACTTTACATATTCATTTTATATTATAAGTACTTGATTCGAATACTTAATAATTATTTACTTTACTGGATCGATCCAAAACCATTGCGAACCAGAATATCGATACAAAGCATTTGCTGGATCGCACATCCTATTTAACAATTTACGATTCAAGTTTTTGACATAAACGGATCCGTGCGTAAACGATTCTTACTCGTTGGTCAGATATTTCAGTTTGGTGAAGTAAAAATCCATTTTCTAGTGGTTATCAGAATAACAATATATTTATTTTCAAAATTCTAATAAATAATTTAGTAACACTAATATTTCAAAAAATTATAATTTTCAAATATAAACAAATACATTCAACCAACTCTAATGTTTCCTAGTATCCTTTAAGTCGAGGGTAAGTATTTTTATTGGAAAATAACATTTATTTAATATACTAATATTAAAAACCTAAACCTAAACTTAAACCTCCTTTCTAAGGAGAGGCCTATGTCCAGCAGTGGACTAGTATAGGCTGTTGATGTGATGATGATGGCACTAATATTTCTTTACAAAAAGTTAGTTTAACAATTACTGTAACTATAAAAGTTACGAAATATTCTTAGGATTTAATAGAAGAATATGAAGATGATACAATTTGTTTTTTCTTATAAAAGTCAGTGTTTTGGAGGGCAACATTATCCACGCCAACATCACAGGTCACGTGACGTGACGTTGTGGACGTGTCATTCGCGAACGGCTCGTTGGCGGCGTTGCGCAGGCTCTTTCTCGCAAAAGTCCTATTGGAGTGTTACTAATGAACAAAAGTTGAATGGTTTTAGCCGAATTGTACTGTTAATATTTTAGTTAGGGTAGTTAATTCTCAAAAAATCAAAATGGGAAGTGAGTATAGTTCATATATATTTATTAAAATTAAGTGTTAAAACAGGGGACACGTATTTGCAATTTCACATGAATTTGTTCTATAATTGTGTGTTGTGTGTTAAAGTTGTGATTTATTAATGTAATCATTCTACTTGCAGTCAAATTCCTCGAAGTTATAAAGCCGTTTTGCAGTATATTGCCAGAAATAGCAAAACCAGAAAGAAAGGTAAGTCAACGTTACATTTTTCCTGATCCTAGAAATTGTCCTTCTTATTTGTACTTCTAATACGTTGTACTGTTGAATAAAGCCACATTTGGGTATATAAATATCTGGATACGTGTTAAAATGCAAGTGAAAGTGAATGCCTAACCTTAACGTTCTTTGTATGTAGGATGGCTAACTGTACTTTTTCGAGTACATTTTGACTTGTCTATTTGTATCGTTTCTAAATGAATGTGTTGTGTTTCAGATCCAATTCCGCGAGAAAGTATTATGGACTGCAATCACATTATTTATTTTCTTAGTATGCTGTCAGGTAAGTGTTGGAATTTTGATACATTATACTTATTGTGATGTGGCCATATGCTTCACCAGAAAGAGCCATGTTTGGGCTAGGATTTCATTGATATTTATAAAGAATAAAACAATAATGATTAAAGAGATGCCAGTTTGTCTATTAAAACATTGTTTATGTTATAACGGATGTCGACCCACCATATGGCTTATAGTTTTTTGAGAGTAGTTATTATTATTTTTTCCTAATAAATAAATATTAGGCTAGGTAGACTATACACAGTTATACTGAATAAATAAAAAAGTTAGTTAAAGACATCTAGCTTATATTGTATGAAATTTATTAGATTATCACAATTATATTTCAGATTCCCCTATTCGGTATAATGTCATCAGACAGTGCAGATCCCTTCTATTGGATTCGTGTTATTCTTGCATCAAATAGAGGAACACTTATGGAACTCGGCATATCTCCTATTGTAACGTCAGGTCTTATCATGCAATTGTTAGCTGGTGCAAAAATCATAGAAGTTGGTGATACTCCTAAAGACAGAGCATTATTTAATGGTGCTCAGAAATGTAAGTATCCATGATCACTGCTTTTTAGGCAACAATAAAAGTTTAGAATATATATAATAATATAATATTTCACACATCTCACACACAGCTGTCTAGTCCCAAAGAAGCCAGAGCCTCTACTATGGTAACCAGAGTGTTGATAAACATCTTATATATTTCTAAATAAATACATATTATAGATAGATTGTGTACTTTATACATATTAGTAGAATACAACTTAAACATCAGCTCTAAATGTTTCACCCTAATGGGGTAAAAAGAGGTGATTATAAATTACATAACATTTGATGGCCCTGTTGGTCTAGTGGTTAATAATCCTGACTAATAAGCCAGGGGTGGTGGATCGATGCCCACCTAAGACAAATAATTGTGTGATGAGCAATCTGTGTCTGGGCGTAATATATCTACCATATGTATGTATTTAGAAATATTTTAGTATGTTTATCAGCAGTCTGGTGTATCAGACAGTTGTGTGTGATGAGAGACCTCTATCAACTTCTAGAAATAGATGAAAGGTGCTGTCCAAGGATACATATTATCATGTTCCCACAAAACCTAACCTTTATCTCTATATATTTATGAAAGAGACCATAGGTTGTTATCACAAATAAATAAAGTGCAATTTGCAGAAGAAACAGCAGTCTTGTTTTATATATTCATAGAATTATTTCTGTTTATATTTACAAGTTTATCTCTTTTTATATATTGAGGCAGATTGCCAATTTATTTTTCCTGTGGTACTGTCTAAGGCACATTGCCAAACTATTTATACAATAGGAAGAAACTTCCTGAAATATGAAGAACTAGGTTCTGCATGTGGCTGCTTTTATTTTGTGTGCTATTTTATATATTTACTAGAGAAAGGTAGGCTTTTATACTGACTTGGCAGGAGGATGTTGCTGATAATGATACAGGAAATAATGCAATATTATTACTACTTTCACCTGTTATTTTATATTAACTAACCTTTACACATTTTTTTTAAATATTATAAGGGACATACAAGCAGATGGGTCACCAACTTAAAAGACAAGTGCATAGTCACCCTCTCAGTCTTGCCCATAAAATAGGGGGAAAGGGGTACGGCTCCATTATCCTTCTTCACTTAGTGAAAGTAATTTAAAAATTGATCTTAACATTAATTTTCTGTAAGGTGTCATTCACAAAAATATAAGGTTAAGATTTTGGTACATTAAAAAAAAATAATTACCTACTCCATTTCTATATTTAAAAATCGAAATGGTTTATTGAATTATTGTATTACTGTTTTTACATGTGGTTATAATAAATTAATATTTTTAGAACATCTGTTATCAAAATGATTTAATAATTTTTATCTCCAAAGTATAGCATGGGTGTACAAAATATCAACTGATATAATGATATTGATAAGACTGGATGTATAAAGCATCAACACATAAAAAGATGTGTTATTATTTAGATACCAACTCTGCAGAGGTTGTAGTATGGATTAATAAACACGAAAAAAAAGAAATAAAAATACATAGCTAGTTTTTTTGTATACATGTAGACACAATGCTAAATGGACATAAATTTTACTGTATACATGTAGACACAATGCCAAATGGACATAATATTATAGTTTTCATTGCCATTCAAATCTAACTCCTGGCTTTTTTTCAGTATTTGGTATGGTGATCACAGTAGGTCAAGCTATTGTGTATGTCATGACTGGTATGTACGGCGAACCCAGCGAAATTGGTGCTGGTGTCTGTCTGCTCATCATCATCCAACTGTTTGTTGCTGGTCTCATTGTGTTGCTGCTCGATGAGTTGCTACAAAAAGGTTAGTAATATTGATATTTCATGTTTATATTGAATGACATAAGGTTAAACTCCCAAGTTCCCAGTAAACGCAAATTTTTCAGCTAACCACTTCTGTCATAATTTTTTATTAATAGCTTAAAACTTTAATGTCCTGATTGATAAACTGGTTGAAATTGTATCTAATTGCTTCATGACCCATTACCACGGCACAGATGGTGCGATTGAAAAAACACTTAAATATTGTGATAAATATGTACTTGCAGGTTACGGTCTTGGTTCCGGTATTTCTCTCTTCATTGCGACGAACATTTGTGAAACCATCGTCTGGAAGGCATTCTCTCCTGCTACTGTAAACACTGGTAAGTACAATCATCAATCATCATCATCATCAACAGCCTATACTAGTCCACTGCTGGACATAGGCCTCTCCTTTTAAGTACAATAGCCATCAAAATACACCATCCTAATAGTTTAACAATATTCTTTTTTCATTCATAATAATTGATATTTTGGTTGATTGCTATTGAGTAGTTGATACAATAATATATATATAGAGAACTATCTTATTTATAGTACTTACATATACAAAATTAATTTTATCTTCTTAAAAGTTATGTGCTTTAAATAAATAATATTTTAAAAATTTATAAGAATATTATTTATTTAAAGAACAAACCTTGACAAAATATGGATCCAATTCTGACTATTGAAATCATTTAACTCCTTCCTACAGGTCGCGGCACAGAATTCGAAGGCGCTGTGATAGCACTGTTCCACCTGTTGGCCACGCGCCCGGACAAGGTTCGAGCCCTACGTGAGGCTTTCTACCGCCAGAACCTGCCCAACTTGATGAACCTGCTCGCCACTGTGCTCGTCTTTGCGATAGTAATATACTTCCAAGTAAGTTATATAAGGGTTTGTCACCATTTATTCACTACATCTAGTTAATGTTTTCAGCGCAGACTGCATCCTGGTTCTTAATATACCAAAATATAAAAAGATTCAACACTCAAGTAATAAGACTATATGTAATGTACAATATTTACCTATACCACACAAATACCTGCCAATGTATAAATATAGAGGTGGTAAAATAGCTGTTGCCATCCACAGGGCTTCCGCGTCGACCTGCCCATCAAGTCAGCGCGGTACCGCGGCCAGTACTCGTCGTACCCCATCAAGCTGTTCTACACCTCCAACATTCCTATCATCCTGCAATCTGCTCTGGTTTCTAATCTCTACGTTATTTCACAGGTGTGTATACTTTAGAATACTTTATTGTCTAGAGTAGAGTTTAAAGTCAGTTTCTTTGTATAAAACATTATTTCACCCATAGCAAGTTCTATTATTTCCTAAAATAATGTTATGTATCACAAAAATGAAAATTCTACCAAAAAATCATAAATAAGCTACTATTGATACGATAATTAGTAAATGAAATATTTATGTCCTGTTTCTTTGACACGGAGCTATTTTATTGGACATCTGATGCTAAGTTATTTCTTCTCGTCAATATTATACTTGTAAATCGATTTCATTAAATTAAAACTTAATAACTTTTTAACAATTCGAAAAATATATTTTTAGCGAAACTAATGACTTTGTTGGTCTTGGTTCTGGTTTTTCTCTCTTCATTGCGACGAAACAAAGAAAGAACAACAAACAAACCACTTTGAATGTTTATTCCTGAATTTGATTTCGTGTAGATGTTGGCCGTGAAGTTTAGCGGTAACTTCCTGGTGAATCTGCTTGGCGTGTGGGCCGACGTGGGCGGCGGCGGGCCGGCCCGCGCCTACCCCGTAGGGGGTCTGTGCTACTACTTCAGCCCGCCTGAGTCGCTCTCACACATCGCTCAAGACCCTCTGCACGCCGTCTTGTACATGTTCTTCATGTTGGGCTCCTGTGCGTTCTTCTCTAAGACCTGGATCGATGTTTCCGGATCTTCTGCTAAGGATGTAAGTATTGTATTGATGTAGATATTCAATTGTCGCAATCTAAAGGAGCCACTAAAGTTAGACTAAAGAAATGTATGACACAGTGTCTCCTTCTCGTAATTCTTACTTTTAACTGACTTAATAAGAGGAGAATTAAAATTGCTATTTAAATTTGTTACCTCAGAACTCCGTCAGTTATGAATTGATTTGGATTTTTTATTTGAAAGGATCACACTATTTAGCAAAAATAAGTTAATTGCATTAAACAAATAATTACCAAACTTAACCTGAGAATATGAACTTGCTGGTACAACCAGTTACCTGAACCTTTATCATGTCATCATCGTCATGTTTATTTATTTATTTATCTCTTTATTGTACACCATTGAAGTATTATTTATACAGATATTAAATACATTTCGGTATAACAATAGGCGGTCTTATCGCTCATGGCGATCTCTTACAGACAACCTTTATACGGATATTGTCAAAAAAAATAGGGTAGCCTGTGATGTACTATTACAACAAATTGAAAAAATAAATTAAAATTCTAATAATAAACATAAGATTACTACTATATACGTTTACAGTATATTATACATACAACTAATAAATGTAAATCATACAATACATATAATAAACATGATGTTGGACTCCCTCTTAAATACTTTCTAATTAGAGAAAGTGAAATACACTGGGTCAATGAAATAAGTGTCATAAAACAATTACACATGTTTTGTCCCCACGACAATCATCTTCTAGATAATTATTAATATAAAAACATAAATGTGAATTTTAAATAAATTATTAATAATTCTATTATGACTAAAAGTAACATATTATTGAATATTTGTAGCTATGCCTAATATGGCCTCCATTCGAACCAATTATTACTTTTCTAAAGATTTTTAGTTTAATATACATTGTATAGACTTTTATTCAGAATCAAAAATGTTCTAAAAGTTTTAGAAAAATTGTTCCGTAGATATTGAGTCACTTTTCTGAAGCCTCAGAGTTTTAGAAAACTAAACAGTGTATACCTATTTGAGAGAGTACACTCGCAACAAAATTGTTGACATTATTATTTACATACTCAGGATGCTACATGATTTCAATGTTAGGTATTAAAAATGGTAAAGCATCTCGGTTCTCAAAGTAAAACATTAGTAAGATCTGTCCCATTTTAAATGAGACCTGGCCGACCGACAACTTACGCGACTGTGCTTATGAGCACTACCTGTGGACGTAGATACTTCGCAACCACGTTTTCGTAATTAAATGGATTCGTCTCCTCCAGGTCGCCAAGCAACTGAAAGAGCAGCAGATGGTGATGCGCGGCCACCGCGACAACTCGATGATCCACGAGCTGAACCGCTACATCCCGACGGCGGCGGCGTTCGGCGGGCTGTGCATCGGCGCGCTGTCCGTGCTCGCCGACTTCCTCGGCGCCATCGGCTCCGGCACCGGTATCCTGCTCGCCGTCACCATCATCTACCAGTACTTCGAGATCTTCGTCAAGGAGCAGGCCGAGATGGGCGGCATGAGTACACTCCTCTTCTAAAATCATAATAGTTGTACGCCGTAGGCGCCGCACCGCTCGCTCTCCCGGTCGTGGCGCCGTCTACGGCGCTGTTGTAGTGTGCGCTACGCGTGTGTGGGTTATGTGCTAATTTATATAAATGAACTTTATAATAAAACAATTACAAGTACAGACCTTGTTTTTATGGACCTCGGAGGACACACATGGTATGCTTTGATTTTCTTCATTAAGAGATGGAAGACGCTCGCATTGGTTAATGAACAATCGGCAAGACGTACATAAACAAAAATTCAGTTCTAACGATTGTGCAGCTGAATTGTAATATTGTATTAATTCACTGTTAAGTTTTATTGACAAGAGTACATTAGTTCTGTATGTTCACTCTAATCACTATGATGGACATGAAAGACTGAACAAAAGGCGTGAAATTATGAATTAACGAAGTAAGGTCCGGTTCCTTCGTCAGATAATTCAGAGTAGATTGAAGATTTTAACAGCAATATTAATATTATAACTGATAAACACGAATATGTCTACAAGCCTCTACTGCTAAAGTTGTCTGACTACTGAAATCGGCTTTCACTCCTAACTTAATGAAATTAAAAGTTATTCTTAGTTATGTAAGATATGATAATGTTAAGGGATGTGAGTAGATTATATTCAAGCAACTGCATAAATAACTCATTAATTTCCATTAGTTGCTGAACTTGTACAAGTTTGATTATTGATTACCAATAATTGTTATATTAGTTAATGTCACAATTTGTTATGACATTCTTGCAAATTGACGTATTTTAAATGTTTGTATATTTTCGTTATACTTTAGAACATTGCATTTTGCGCTTTAAATGTTTTTTGCTACACTGTCAGATATTTGTAACTAAGTTTATTAGTAACAAAGCAGGTTCCTATTTAATACAGGTTATACTAGACTCAGATAACAAATAAATTCGTTTGCATCGTTTTTAATCTTATAATATTTTTTTATTTAATACAAATACAAACCTATGTGTAGGAAAAATATCGCCGCTAAAACTATATTTCGTTTTTCAAGAAACTTCGCCCTCGTTAAATGTCGAAAAGGGTTTTTTTTTGGAATGAAGTTCCTTATAGCGCGTTACACGCTTTGAGCGGATGGGAGTGAGACCGAAAAATGTGTAACAAGACTTTACACGACACTATAGCAAGCGTCTATTAAAAAGTGAAAAGAACTTCCTTCCCACCGGTGGTCCATAGACCCTCACGGCGTTTCTCTTTAGTTTTTATAAAGCAAGTATGAGTACACTTCTTCGATACAAAACTGTGGTATTCTAACTTTATCCAAGCTTTCTATAGACTGCAGTGAATTATAGCGGATAAATGCTGTTATGACTCCTGACACAGCTTTTGTATGTAAAGCGACAAATAAGATGGAATGAATTTAATTTCTCCTTGTCATCATAACATCAACAACCTTAGGGTATTTTTTACAAAACTACAAAATAATTTTGTTATGTAACTTTATTCTCCTCACTAGACATGCAAATACAAGGACAAAAAAAAACAATTTACGATATTCCCTCAAAACCTTTTAACAAAAACTCATCACGACTAAGTTATACGGTAACAAATGTATTTACAAAAAACAAGACCGAATAAGTTTGTCGCCAAAATTTTAAACATGTCGAAAAAAACTTGAGATCTTAGGAACATGATTGGTAAGAGATCGAACAGAACATTCGAACTGGAATAGTGCCATATACATTTCAAATATGGAACTTATATAAACACGTATGGCACAACACTAAATACATTTACGCACCCTTACAGTAACAGGCACTTTGTAAAAGGAAACCTTTCGTCACGACTGAAGAACGAACCTATTTGTTATGGCTACAATCACATCACTCGTTAATCTAATCTTTTTTTATTAAATACTAGCAATCATTGCACATGTCAAAGCAAATCTAGTTTAGTAATTACAGTGCAATAATTAGCAAACAATAAAAAATTTAAACAGCTAATGTAGCAAATATTTCGCTCTACAGACATGACAATAATCGTGACCTAGGTACGAGTAGTACTAACGGTATGTAAGGAATTAATTTATTGCTTCATTCAAATAACGGTGTGACATCTTGGTCCCTTACCATCATTGAGGGATTGAGGAAAACATTACTGTTATTTTGCGAAAGACTGATCGTTTAATATTATTAAGAAGATGGAATCGGTCACCAGTCGAATGACTCAACCCGTGACGAGCCGCTCGCTTGTTTATTGGACTTTCAACCGGCTCTATACTAGTGACAGACAGACTACTGCTGGATTAACGGAAAATCATACCCTATATCTTTACTACTAGTGAAGGCCACATCAAAATTATGGTATTAATTTTATTGCTGGATTTGTCTCATAACGCACCATCAAATCTTATCCAATCGGCAACGCAATGTTACTTAAATAAATAGCGTGTTTATCGCTTGTTAAATACACTAAATAATTGCCGTTATCTGCCATTGTTTAGTTTCGGGATACTAGTTTATCTACTTATTAGTATTCACAGAGATATTTATTTCACAATAAACTCCTAAATTAAATTTAGGCAATTCAACGATAAAACTTTTTATAAAATAGATGAATATATTCAAAAAAGCAATTTATCGCTACTAAAACTTGCATAATATGTATATACAGAGCTAGTTCTAGTGTTTCTACGACCTCCTTGTGATCCCCACACTAATATTGCATTTCACATGGACTGGTTTTATTCACATAGTATATGTAAAAATTGTGTAAACCTCAAATTCTCTCTAAAAATACAACAAAACTAAACGAAACATCTGTAATACACGAAACATTTTATTATCATTAACAACTTATCAGTGGAAAGAGAAAAAAAAACAAAGAAAAATAACTATAAGAATAACAGTGCCAATTATTAACTAAAAGTGGAATAAACATCACTCGTCCTATTTATCAAACAATTTTTTACCTATAGAAGCATCAAGAAATGCGTAAGTTAAACCTACGTTCATTAATTAATGAAGTGATTTTACAAAATTATAGGTACCCATGTGTCTACTACTTCCAACCAATAAAATATAATCTAAACTATAACAACTTGTATGGGAAGTCGCGCAGGCATCGTGTGCTGGTTTACCTTACTGGTTACTTTAACTACTCACTACTCATGTCGCTAATCAATCTTAATCATTTGTACATGCGTATCATAACACTTAAAGTTATTAAGTGTACTCTATCCAAACTTAGGTCAAATGGTAATTTAGAATATATTTGCACTTGCCATATGCTCCGAACCCTCCGCAAACACCTAAAGCTTCAACTCACTTGAGATTATTCCATTATATAGCTAGCTCTAATATATTGTTGCACTTGGCATCTTACTAAGACAAGTCTCGAGACAGTAAAATGTTAGCATATTTGTATATTTTCTAAACCTTTGTTCACGTTTAAAATACACATGCTTCACAGACTTAGTGTTCTAGTGTCTACACAATGAGAAAGCTTCAGGTATATGCATACGCAATATATCGTTAACTATCGAGTCATTTATGTATGTCAGCAGTTGGAATAAGTCCTGTGCATAAATTAAATTACGTGATACATATGATGAGAGAACTGAAATATTTAGTAATTTCCATACAAAAGCAAGACAAGATGGCGTTGTACCGCTACAAATCTAGAAGCGCGAGTCAATAAATTACGCATTCGTCATTAACTGTTAAGCAAGTGTTTCTATTTCTTCCTGCATGACGGGCGCCTGCTCAGGCGAGGGTATCTTCGAAGGCGAGTTGGTGTAAGGCAGAGTCTGTAGTTTCCGAGCTTCTCGCCTCTGTTTCTTCTGCTGCATTACGAGCCGGAGTTGTTCGAGTTTGCATTTGGTTTTTGAATTTTCCATAGCTACGGTCTTGGCTGTATCACATTTCTTGCATATCTCGCTGCCGGCTTTGCCCACGCATAGCACGCAGAGTTTAGGCTCGAGTCGATTACACTGACAGTTTTTGAGTTCGCACGAGCAGTGCTTGGTAGGCGTGGCGGATGTGGATGGCAGATGACCGTCACACTGTCCATACGAACACGAAGGTTGGCTGCAGCCCAAACATTTGTTTGGCTCTTCCGATATGCACGAATGGCTGGGGTCCTTCTAAAAGGTAATAAAAAGAAATACTATGAGTGTGTGCGAATTCAAATAAATTGATTTGCAAGCTTATAAAATATAGTGTTAGTATAAATTACCTGGGCCAAGGCAATAGGTGGTGCAGCACACAATAAGTCATTCAGTATATGAATGATAGTTGATATATCTCTCTTTGGTCTGCCATATCTGTAAATTAAGTAAAAATAACAATGTATAAGTAACGCAACAAGATAACTGCAGTAGAAAGTAAATAATTCCACTTAAGTATGCTTTACAACATTTTATTGTATGAATTTATTTGTAATCTTCATGTAAACTCGTTTAGAAATATTTAGTTTCAAATAAAGAGTTCTGTTTGAAAAATACAAACACCAATTTTTAATATATATAAAAGTCAGCATGTTTTAATTATGAACTGTTTGAATACACATAGAATTTGATAAAAATAAAATAAATAGTAATTACTTATTTATAACCTCACATATCTTACACACATGTGATGATGATTTGATCCCGTACAAGGCAGAGCCTTTAATGACCAGATTGCTGATAAACACACTTATTTATTTCTAAATACATACATATTATAGATAAATCAAATAATTATGATAGAACTACAATTAAAAATGAGGTACATTAATAGTTTAAAATAAGTAAATCATATACATAAAGAATAAGTCCCTTACCTGTCTTGTAAAGCAGGATTCAATGTGCCAGAAAATGTCCCTGAATAAATTCCTTTGCCATGATGCTTCATGGACTCTATCACAGCTCCCGGGCCATACTTCGCACGCACAGACTCCTCTGCAGCTCTCAAATCAATTTTATTTGTTAGAACTTCTTTGGAGAGCTTTTTCAGTTTTTGTGTTAAATTTTTTGATGCTTCTATAAGAGCTTTAGTGTCTACAGGGGGTGGTGGTGATACTCGTTGTGGTTTTTTTGGAGCATCAGGAGCTTTAAATGTGGTTTGCTTTGATGTAGATGGTGTAGCATTATCATCAATTTGTCCAGTACTAGGTTGTAAAATTAATTTTCTAGAATTTGTTATATAAGGTTCTGTTCTGGAGGTAGAAGGCTGAGACAAACTAGTGTCTTGTCGACTCTGCATCCTCTTTTTGTGTTTATTTACAACAGATTGCATAAATGCTTTCTGTTTATTTTGACCTATAGGATGTTTGAATTTGGAAGTTTTATGAAGTAAATATTGGAAGCGCTTATTTTTCAAAGGTTCGTTTATACTTTGGAATGATGGTAATGTCCCTGAGTTGGCTTCTTGACTGCCATGACTAGTGGTAGCCAAATTTGATATTTCTCTATCCATCATAGATTCATCCTGGTCTTCAAACAATCCTTTGTCTACTGCACTGTTAAATAGGTTTTCCATTGGATACTCGTCAATAGTACTTTCAGCAAGGAATGAACTTTGATCAGTAAAATTATCACTATCATCTGAGCTGTCTGGTGTATGAGAAGATGTATTCGGGCTTTGTTTATCACACATTGTTGTTGATGTTGAAATTTCATCTATATCATCTCTCGATAGCAGGTTTATCAGATTATTCTTTACAGTATTCGCGAGAGCTGCTTGCTCCGCTCGAAAGTTGGCCTCTGTAGTGTCAATAGGACTAGACACCAAATTGGATAAGGACTTAATAGGGGACTGTTCATTTTCTATTGATGCATCAGACAAATCTGAAATTGTACAGTTTGTAGTGTCTATTGTTTCTTCTTTCTCATGACAGGTATCAGGTTTTTCACTCAATTTTTCTTCTGCAAGTGATCGGTATAAATCAAAATAATTTTGAAGCATTTCAAAATCCTTTTGCAGACCATGTGGTAAACAAGGCGAATGAACTTCAGGTTTAACACTATCACTACTAATGTAGGAATGATCCATAGGCACAGGTGTACAGGTAGGTGGTGTGGTCTGAGGGCTGGGTGATTCCCTGGTGTCACACTTTGTTACAGTTCTTAATGATGCAGATGATGTAGAACTCTTTGCAGGTGTGGCAGTCCTCAATGACCTGGAACTACTGGAAGAACTGGAGTTTAAGGTGGACAGCTGCAACTGAATCAGCATCATATGGTCACCTAGTCTCATAGTCAAATTCAGTGGAGATTTACCGCTTAAGAAGTCATTAACCTGGGTGTCATTTAAGGATTCCAGTGCTTGCATCACAGAGTTTTCGGGCCTGTGGCTCTGTAACGAACAAAATGGCAATATTATTAAGAAAGTTAATTAGTCAATAGATTAGACATTATTTAATATATAAATCTTTATTGATTAGTTTGTCATTGTTATGAAACACGTGATTATCAAGAAGTACTTGGGGGGTTTCGACACATCGTGACGCACTCACCAGCAGGCCTGTCTCGACGCTTGGCAGAAGTATAACCCGCGATCCGTCTTGAAGGCCGTTCTCTTCTAGCGTGCCATCCCTTAGTTGTCTGTAATTACGAAACTCAAGTTCATTACACGAGTCAAATAACACTGATGCGTCATCGTATCGACATATTTCCGTGATATGTTTGACAATAGAAGCTTGGCGTCTCGACTCAAAGTGCTCACCTTTCGCGATGAAGTAAGCATATTCTATCCTTCGACACCTTTAATTTCTTCGAAACTAACTTCTTGAGATGCTCCACTGTGTTTTTACCGTTTAAACTGACGGAGAAATTACCACCCGTGGTAGTCTGTATATTCAGCGTTATGTCCGAGGATTGGGGCGAGCCACACCCGTATACCTCTGTTCCTGTTGCCCTTTCCATAATTTCTTCATAAATTACACTAAAATTTACAATTTAACACTGTTCGAAACACACATGAACTATCTTTAATTACACAGCTATTTTATTGTAGGATAGAAATAACAGGGTCACGCCAGACCCCCAGTTTTTTGATGTGGCCGTCAGTGTGACCAGTTCACGTTCGAGATATCCCGTTAATTTTTTTCACAACAGCTGATGCGAAGCGTTGACTATTTGCGTTTCGTTGCTACTTCTTAGTTACCAGTTTACATGTATTTCTTTACATTCGGGACTACACTCGTCAAACTAATTTATTTATATACTTAAGCTAATAAAAAATGCAAATGTAACTTTTCAAAGTGTCTTACATATATTCATTCCTTTTATTACGATTACAATGCGTCAACAGTCGGCAAACCAGTAACGCAAATGCAGTACGTCCTACGCTAAGCTTGTCATGGCGTCAGCAATAAACGTCAGAATTGCAAACGTCATATGACGTCACCTCGGAGCGTATAATACAATTTGAACTGCACTAGGGCGAATGATATTTTAGTTGTAGTTTTGCAGTTTTCTCGTTTTTTTTTATACTTAGTTGCCAGAAAACGGCAATCTTGCCTGTGGGTGTCATGATTTTTATGACGTAATATTAAAACAGGATTATAGGGGACAATAAATATAGACAGTTTCCTCAACCCTCTTTATTAACCCAGCACCACCAACACGATAAGAACAACAAAACTTAACATCTATCACAGCAAATGTCACATAGATACGTGTTCACAGAATTAGTTATCAGCAATGGTTTCCAGATTTCTTAACAAACAGAGCGTCGTAGCACGAGGCGATGACATGGCCTAGTTATTTTACGCAACATTGGTTTAATAAATAAACGTCAAAAAAAGCATAAGCCAGGTCATTGCCACCTCTGAACCAACGCCTGTAGCCGTGTACCAAGGCTCATTTACATGACAAACCTCATGCTCGGTTACTTGTTACACCTGTTGTATACTTGTTCCAAGTAATGCATGGGAGTCTATTCTAAATATTTACTTTATAACAGAATTGACCAGCATATAAATTAATAATAATATGCTACTTCCGCATTTTGTTAGGCCATTTACATATTTTGACTAGCAAGTGAGAAGTGAAAGATTATGGTTTATACTATCTGAATTTTAATTTCTCGTGGGATGTTTTCATTTATCAGTGATATACTTTTACTTTTCAAATGCACTGACATAAGTGTAAACAAAACCTTATACAGACAAGATTCACTGGATTCTTTTGGAATATCCCATTCTTATATTTATTTACTACAAGTTTTATATAAATGTAGGTATGTTGTGATTATCGCCAAATAAAGAATGTTCGTATTTGAAATAATATAATTTTTTAGCCTATTATTAACTAGGCTCTTTTACAGGTATCTGGATTATGGTCTTTTTACCAGCTAGCCTAGCATAGGTGGTAAATAAACAAAAAAAAGTTCGGTGCTGGCATTTACTAATGAATCTACACCATTACACTTATTTTCACGTCAGTTTTCTTTTCAAAGGCAGTTCGCCTTTAAAAAGTTTGTTCTAGTTTCATTAAAAGTTCATCTAATATTTTATACAGGTACAAGTTGTTCATTGTTGAACACATCGTGATAACCCACTGTAAAAATATATTGTTCTTTTTAAAAGAATTTATTATGTTACTCTAATATTTTTCCTTTAGAGATCTTTCACGGCGACTGCGCATCACGCGACATAGTGCGTGTTGATTCTGATTTTCACCGTATTTTTTTTTTACACACAGCAATTTACTCACAGCAGCACTGGTATGTGTGTCACAGTATGAGATGCTACTAATAATTGTTTCTTGGTACCTTTTTAAAAATTACAACATAATGAAGCTAAACTAAAGGAATACGAAAAAGTGCAAGCATATTTTATGAAAATAACCTTAAGGTATTTAGAAAAATTAGATGAGTTCAGCGACTCATAAGGTCTGACCACTATTATTATAACACAAATTAGTCAGTAATTATAATATTAACACGTTAATGTATTATCTCTATACAATTGTGAATGGTAACTTAATTCGATATTATATGAAATTGGTAAAGACAAAGACGACATGCACAAGGCAAAAACATTACAAGAAGTTATTGGAAAATACTGGATCGAGGTGTATATGAATATTAAAGTATTAAATGAAATGTGGGATTTCAAGATTTGTTTTCTTACGTTCCGAAATAATTACACTATATATTCATTTTGTAGAAAACCATTTAGTAGACATAAAAGAAACGTATTTTATATTTAAAAATACATTACATTAAAAACTATTTAGTAATTGAAGATTAGAGAAATAATAGAATACAGCAATAAAAGATCACAATGCATGAAGTAATGTGAACAGGCTCAGTTGTAGTATACCACTTTTAAAGTGCATATAGCTACCTATGTTTAGTACAGTTTCGCATTTAACATTAAAATATTTGGATAATTATATTAAATATATTGATGTGTTTTTAACAACAAACACATTTCAAGTCATTACAATGGTTTCTATGAACCATTGGACCCTGTTATTGACACATGTATTTCTATAAAAAATAAGTTGATTACATATTTTCATCATATAAATCTAGCCCGCTTAGTCAAATTTAAATACCTGGACAAAAATCTAGGAAGCTACCGTATGTTATACTACAAGTGAATGAAGTTAAATCTAAAAAGTTAATATAACAAATAGGTAAATAAATAGTCACTTTGTTGAAAGTAATTGATTCCATATATAACATTCTTATAACATAAACATATCAAAAATTAAAAATAAAACTCGTAAATATTTTTGATCATGTGATTGTCATAAATATCACATTTAACAAATAAATATCACAAATAAAAAAAATATCATTGCAATCAAAATGTAACATTATGAAATGTTTTATCTATTTGGATTGTTAGTTGCAGTGTAAATTCACCGTAAATATCTATAGGGCATTTCAAGTTAAATAATTACATTGAATTGTATTGCCGACGTTCTACAATGGAGGTAGTACCCGTCGTTATAATATTTTATTCAGTTTATTTACATAACCGTTTACCGACGCCCTATTATTTTTTTTCTATTGTATGTATACAAAAAGACATATTCATTTTATATAATATAAATAAGTAATATATTATAATCGTAATATTGTTCTATCTAGTACTGGGCGCTCAACGCTAAGCAGACCTACAAATTTGGTCGATTTTAACACCACTATCATCCTTGGTCCTTTATCACAGTTTTCTCTCATCTCTGATCTCAAGGTGTGTCAAAATTCGAGCGAATTTGTTGAGACTGTTTATGATTACAGCTCATTCGAAACTTACTATGTGAACAATATGGCTTTGCTCTTTTGTATTTTACTAAAGATATTTTATAAGTTAACGATAAAAAGTTGTGTATCTACTGCAATTGGTAATAATTATATTCTCTCAATAGACTCGAAGGTGGTCATCATCATCTGCCTACAATTTTCCCGATTTTATTTGATGTTGGTGCAGTAAGTATGATTCTTCCATTCTACTCTATTCTAGGGTGGACTCGAAGGTGGTAAATTATGAAAGTGTAATCATTATCAATATCAGTGACATAATAGGGAATATGCATGTATTTTTTTAAACGCTTCTACTAGTTATTACATTACCAAAAATAAATATAACACATCCGAAATATAAACCGTTAAGCAAAAAAAAATTATTAAAATCACTATCATTTTGGGGCAATTTGAACACGTCCATTTTGGCGCGCTTTTTTTGTAACGTCAGATTACACTTTCAGACGAATTCGATGTCAACAACGGAGTGAAGTTCACAAAGTTTGTGAAAGTTAAAAAAGTGAGTGATAAAAATTAACTTATTACCATGGAAAAGCCAATAAAAACTTATTATAAATATTGTGCCGTTCCTTTGTGCCCAAATAGTATCAAAACTGCACCTGACAAAGTATATTCAGTCATTGTGTTGAGTCTTTCTACACGGGAATTTAATAATTTAACACTGAAAACGTGTTAGTTATTAACTTAAAATGAAACAAATAATCATCAGAGACCAAATATTACAAATACACACAACTTGTTGACACTCTTGACAGTGTAGGTTGACGTCACGTTTTATTCAACCAATAGCGTTGCGTTTTAGAAATTTGCGAGGGAATCTTAAAAAAGCCAATTTTTGATGATTAAATTTCACTATTAAATTATATTAAAATTAAAAAATAATTGTATGGGTATCATTTTTTAGCAACAAAAATTACAAATAAAAATATTTTGTCCATTTTGGTGTCACGTGCATATTCCCTATTGCCTATCATTATACTTGCAAAATCGTTAATTGTATTTTCAATTCCTAGTCATCTAGAATATTCGCATGAGAATAGCTTCAAGATAAAAGCAAATTTATATTATTCACACAGTAAACTTTTATGATGTAATACAAAAATTAATGATAACATGATTTCTATATAAAACACTGATACATATGTTACAAGAATTGTATGTAAATGATCACGAGCCAAATTCTTGCGTCTCATTGTCGATTTCTTCGAAGACGTAGCCTCCCCGGCCGTCCATTTGTAAGTAATGGTCGTGGTGCTTCCACAATGACTTGCGGTGTGATACAGTGAACAGGGAAATGCCCACCTGGAATTATAATTATTTATGGGTTTTAAAATTTGTTTTAGTTTTTAATATTTTTGAACATCTAACACACAACACCATCTAGTTTCAAACTAAGCAAATCTTGTACTATAAAAGCTAGATTGACTGATAGAATACTTATATACTTTTTTTGTGGATACAAAATACCCAAACTCCGAAACAAATATTTGAAAATCATACAAACATTTGGTCCGACCCGGGAATCGAACCCGAGACCTCAACACAGCAGGCGCATATGCAACTGGGCCACCGAATGTGTCATTTTTTGTAAATGATTTTTATGAATTACACTGACCTCTCTACAGTACTGATACATTTGACCTTCGACATCAACGGAGACTGCGCTGGTGCACTCATCCAGTATAGCGAACTGAGGCTCGTGGTAGAACAGGCGAGCCATCTGTAATAATAAACTCAGTGTATCCTTTAAGAATTTTCATGCGATTGATTTATACATTAAATTATACGTTTAACTTGGACCTTCGTCGCTATAGTATAAACAAGCTGAATCAAATTCTACCAATCGATGTAATACAATCAACAATTAAAAGATCATTAAATAACTTTAATACAACATGAAATATTTTTAACAGAAGATAAATTTAAGTAAATGAAATACGGTCTTAACTCCTGTGTTCTAATCGGAGGTGACAGTCGGGAACCATCATAGTTGAGAAATTCGTGTATTATATTCTTGTAATTGTAAGACAACTCACAGCTATCCTCTGTTTCTCTCCGCCAGACAGTACGTCCATCCAGTCCTCGACGGCGTCGAGGCCTCCTTCCCGATTGACGAGGTACTCCAGTTGCACGATGTCCAGGAACCGAAGGAGCTCGTCGTCCGAGCGACGGCGTCGAGTCATCTCGTCGCGAGTTTGTGGGTACGTTATCTGCATAAAAACACACAAAAATACTGTATTTAATATTTTTTCAATATTTTTTACTTTATCTACTTTTACTGAATAGATATAAAATGGCAAATTTTGAGAGACTGAGTTCATTATTTATTCAGAATACACTGAACTGGTATAATTTAAATAACGCTTAATTATTGTGATTGAATTTTTTAAGGTTTTCCTTTTTTTTATTGTTTTATGCGAACTGACAAAATAGGCATATATTAAGTTATCGAGTTATTTAAGTTGAATTCAAATGTAGCGAGTGGGTGCAGCGAGTGACCTGGTCGCGGAGCGTGCCGAGCGTCATGTAGGGGCGCTGCGGCACGTAGAAGAGCTTGCCGCGCGGCGGCTTGGTGAGCGTGCCGCCGAAGATGGGCCACAGCTCGCCGAGCTGACGGAACATGGACGACTTGCCGCAGCCGTTGGGCCCGCACACCAGCACGTTTATACCCGACCTGTACGACACCAAAGCGGCTTGTCTTTCAATCCTCTCTAAGGTAGAATTGCATTAAGTAAGCAATTGAATAGAAGGCATGAGGCGGGGAGTAACCCTTAAGAAAATCAAGATTAACCAGTAGCAGGGCTGTTTATAGGAATAGTGTAACAAGTTTAACACGTGTATCTATATAGATCTGTCTGTGGCATCATAGCTCCTAAGCAGCTTAACCGATTTTGATTCAGTTTTTTAAAGGAATAAGTAAAAGTTCTTAGGTAGATACACATGAAGATTACAAAAGTATATTTTGAGTCATGAACAACGCAAATAGAATTGATGTGAATATTCACGATTTGTGTTTAAGTTTTAGATTTGGCATTTATATGAAAATTAGGTCAAATACATACAAGTCAGGGTAATAGCTATAGGTATATTACTTGCTCTACTAAGCTCCATTGAGATATTTAAAATAAAATGGCCAGTTGCTTTCATTACTAACCGAACTTCGAAGCTAAGTTCTTTGATGAGTACATCACCGTTGGGCGTGACGAGCGGCACGCGGTCGAAACGGATGATCTTGTCCTGGTAGATGATACGACCTGCACCCGGCGCAAGGAGCATCGGCAGCTCAGCTGTAAACACATTACATAATATTCATTAATAAATTTAACGTTTTACATATGGTGTTTTAAACACAATGGGCGTTTAAAAACGAGTTGCCTAAACCTAACCTGAAAAATATGTTTTTGCAGCGTAATGCAGTGATTATTGCAGTCTTCTTCTTCTTATCGTGCCGATGGCAATTTTTTTTTACGAATGGCGTTTGGCCTTGCAGGTCGCCAAGCGAGATCCTGGGCTCGCGGGGCAAGTTAACAAAATGGTATATTGTCTTTGGAGACGCGCCACAGTCGCATTTATTTGCCCTTGAATTTTCTCACCTTGACAGATCGTCCTTAGATCTGCCAACCTGTGTACACAGCCTAATGTGGTTTCCTTCGAGGTTGGCCAGGGGAGTTTATCTCCTGGAGGTATATACATAGTATAAAATGAAGTCACTTCTCGTTCTTGTACTCGTAAATCTTTCAAACTATGTAACGCATTTTAATGCAGTTTTCATCAATAGAGAGAGTGATTCAAGAGGAAGGTTTATTTGTATAGTACATGGCACCCGTACGGAGCGGGGGTCGGTCGCTAGTCTTTCATGAGATTTGAATGAATGAGACGAACGTACGAGGAGTACTGACCGGTACCGTTCTGCGTGTTCTTGTCGACCATGGTGCGCGTGTAGTTGCCCTTGTTGACGTCGTCGAGCACGGTGCGCAGCTGCGTGACGCGCGAGGTGAGGCCGGCCAGCTTGCTCAGCTCGCGCCCCGACAGCACCAGCCGCCCGATGCCCTCCGCCATCTTCACCAGCATCCGACCGTACGTGTAGTAGTGCTGTGGGGTACGAACAGACCATATAGGTAGGTACTTTTAATGAGAGCCTTATTTGTTTGTGTAATAATTCTACTAATTGAATGTTCTTTCTGATAATATTTTAAGTCTCAGAAAAAAATAACAATTAATAAAGAGAGAATGAGTTTTTTCTCAAGTTTTAAGGTAAACTTCATTTTTGTTACTGTTTATTGTTTTTATGTTTATAAATTTTATAATTTATAAATTTTTATATAATTTAATTTATAAATTTTTATATAACCATACCCTTTCTGTATAATTTAATCTATATCATTGTATATTTGCAAAAAAAATATTTAATTAAAAAACTACTAGAGATATAAATCACGCTCTTAAATTTCGTGATATGAAATTTGAAAAATATTAACTCTAAATAATAAACTGTAACTACTTTCATGCTATTAACAAATATAAAGTTTGGTGTACCTTTTCTGAAACAACTTTTTTTAACTTTTTTAAAAAATATAAAAATAAAAAGGTTACCTTAAATCTATCATTTTCAGTTCCTGCTGTAAGTAAGTTATGAGTTGTAGAGAAGAAAGGCCTCGATACGGCCAGGAAGCCGACCGTGATTGCGATGTCTGTAAAAGGTACATAAATTATTAATTAAATACTGTATTCCCAGAGAGCACCATGACCAATGGCACGAAGCATAACAGGTTATAACATGACCAAATCACTACTTACCAGACGCCTGAAAAAAACCATAATGAGTTTATGATGACTGTTTTATAATTCATTTCTTAAGAGTTTATACTTGGTTTCACATACACTATTGTTTGTGTTTATAAAAAGCATCTATCTTAAAGCAGTAAATCAAATAAATAAAAAACGTGTATTCGTTAAAAAAAATAGAGTTCACACTAGATTCGTCACTTCAGTCCTTTGTAATATTAACAATCAATATCTATATTTTTTATGTATAAAGTGGGACGAAAATAATTTGTTGTATGTATTTTATAATTGATTGGAATTTCCTATTAAATAAAGTTGCTATCCATAATCGATTATTGATCGAACCGTCTATCCTATAGTCAATTTATGAGTGAAGCGAGTATAAAACTTACATTTAGCAATGATGTTGTCGATGAATCCCATGCCTACTCTAAAGTTGAGGAAGTTTCTCAAGTGTCTCGTCAATTTGAAGTAGCTGGCTAGTAATGTTAGCTGTTCACGATTGTTACCCTGTAAGGAGAGTTTCAGTGTAAAAAGACGAAGAAAGAAACTTAAAAGTACAGTTAACAATACCAATTTTTTTACTTGTAAGATCTAAACGTTTCCGTTCTAAGAAGAGGCCTATGTTAAGCAGAGGATTATTAAAGGCTGTTGATGTGAATATAGTACCTGGTAGAAGGCAATTTCTTCAGAATAAGTGATGAGCCTGGAGTTGACGTATCTGAATTCACCTTCAAGTTTTTGTTCTTGAACTGTCATCTTGGCTGTAACAACAACGTGATGTCATTGCGTTATTATATAATGGCAGGGGTATTATATTTCTTCAACACAAAGGGAGAGTTTTTCGCCCAGACAAGGGAACGACCTGAAGGCCTGAATAAAAAACCGGCAATCGTCAATCGTCTTCTGATCATGCGTGAAGTAAGATGATCTGTCTTTGTGTAATGAGTACATCTATTCCGATAATAAATGCAAATGACTAATACTTCTAGGCTTTCACGTTTTTTGGGTTTAGCGGGCAAACTAGCAGACGGATTACCTTATGGTAAGTGACTACCACAGCTCATAAACAAATTCATCTCAAGTGATACAAGTGGGTTGCCACCTTGTGCTTGTCCCTGAAAATTAGAGGGCGCCTTGTGTCCCCAATCTAAAATTTCACTTCGTTAGGTAATTTGAAAGTTTGATGTTACCTGTGGGTCTTCTTAGATAAGTTAGAAATACTCCAGATAGTAATAAATACACCATCATGATTCCAGGTGTCTGAAATGTAAATAAACATAAAATTATAAACTTATAACTTGGTATGGTGGTGTAATAAGTTAAGGTATTGGACCTGAGATCGATGGTTCCGGGTTCGAACTAAGAAGGTGTAAAGTCCTAAGACGAGCATTTAAATTTCGTTGGAGAGATTAAATAATGTGTAATCTTTGTAGTAAGTAGTGTATAAATAAAAAAACCGGTGGTGCAGTCAGTATCGATTTTTATTAAGTTACTATAGGTACTAGGTATGCCTTTTAAGTTCTGTCGTTTCCATATTGTCCGCCAATTTTGAATTTGGAACTGTTCTATATTCGAATGTGTTTAAATTTTGAATCTCAAAATAGTTGAAAGTATTAGGATTAATGCTATTGTTTAGTCACAGCGTCGATTGGAATCTGTCAGGTTACGTACGAAAATGAATCTTTCTAAGGAAAATGTTCTGCACGAACATAATTTTCTACAACTTTAGAAGAGGCCTGACACGGCTTCAGTGTTTTGAAGAGCTAACATCTGTGTTCAGTGATGAAGCCCCATGTCTGCGGACTGTCGGACGCTGGTATTTAGAATTCCAGCGTGGACATCCTAGTGTTAGTGACAAATCTCGCCAAGGACGCCCAAAATCCGCCTTCACTGAAGATAACATCATTGCTGTGAGACAACGAATTCTCGTCTTGGTCTTTCAAGACCAGCCAAAGCCGACTAAAGTTGTTCGTTCTCGAAGCACTTCAAAGAAGATGGTGGCCACGTTTGTAGGAAAAACCGGCCTTGTTGCGACTATTGCACTTGAAGATCGTAGAATTATTAACGCAGAGTGGTTTGTTTACCACAAGTCATCGAAAAACTTCGAAAATCTAACTCAAAGCGACGCATCATCCTCCACCTCGGCAACGCAAGCTCACACAGCGCTTGTCAAACGATTGAGTATTTGAAGCAGGAAAAAGTAGAAATTCTTGACCATCCGTCATACAGTCCGGACCTAAGCCCTAACGATTTCTTTACATTTCCTAAAATTAAGAAAAGTCTTCGTGGTCAAAGGTTCCAGTCCGGTGTAGAAGCAGTGGACGCTTTCAAGTCAGCCATTTTGAACACCCCCACTTTAGAGTGGAATAAATGTTATAATAACTGGTTTGAGCGAATGGAAAAGTGTATTAAGCTACGTGGTGAATACTTTGAAAAACAATAAAAAGTACTATAAGGTTCTAGTTGCGTTTTTTTCTTCAAACGACAAAACTTAAAAGGCATGCCTCGTATCGAGTAGTTTAAGTACTGTAAATACACACAGTGATGGAAAACTCACCTACTACAAAAAAATACTTTAGAACTCTTTGCTACTTTTCATGCAATAGCCTGATATTTATAACCTCCGACATCCTCTCTTCAGCCTTTAGATAAGGACCAGGTCCGAAACACGTGGGTAAAACCGTTTATCCTTTATAAACATGAGGCTATTAGATGTTTGGTTTGATTCAAATAGCCTTATTACACAAAATATTTTTGCTAGGTGTTACCATCTAAAAAACTTTTCCGGTATTGCCTTAATAACGTGTAAAAGATTATACTCACAGAAGCTCCCAAATTGACAGTGAGCCTGTATAAATATATGCTTATATCTAGGATTGGCTTTGTGATGTTGCCGTAGAGATCAACCACGGTGTCACAAAACCTCTCAATGTCAGTCGTCAAAAGTTGGTCTGCATTCGATATTCGATTATCTAAGTTTGAAACTTGGTAGTACGTGAAGCCCCTGAAAGTATCAAGATTAGTTTCTTTTAACGAATAGTATATAAAAAAGTTAGTTATTTAGTTCTAACCTTGCGGATTACTTTTTATTTCTGTAATCATTTAACCTTGAATAAGTTGCATTTCAATGATGAAACTAGTCATTACAGATAACGCTAATACAGAAATAATATACATCTAGCATTCAGCAGAAGTAATTCAAAGTGAACCGTAGTTAATTAACTGTAATATTGACATGACAAGGTCGAACATATAACATTTTCCATAACTTAAGTCAACAAATCTGATAAAATGTTTCTTATAGAACTTATTGTACATATATATATATATATATATATATATACCCTAAGAGCTGTGTACATGGACGTAGAGTATTTACAAAGTTCTACAAATATATACATAGATGTTATAATAAAAGACTTGCGCTTTCCGATGGCCGCTATCATCATCATCACATCAACAGCCTTTAATAGTCCACTGCTGGACATAGGCCTCTCCTTAGAAAGGAGGTTTTGGCCTACTATACCACGCTGGTCAGACGAGTTGATATAGGGTTTGTGTCAAGTTTCCTTCTCTTTGCAGTGCTGTTGTCCTGTGTAGTTTGTTCCCTTAGTCGGCTCCTACGATACCCACAGGATGAATAGGGGTAGCGACATTCCGTATTCTTAATCGGCGATAGCCGCTAATTATGGGAAAATTCAGTACCTATTACATTATGTGTTGGAAAATGCCAACTTTTCTTAAATTTAGTTTATAGTACCTAGACTAGAGAAGTGCTAGTTGCGGTGACTCTCAAATTAATGCTGATAAGCCGAAATAAGTTTTACTGTTCCTCTTTAGGGCTTTTCAAAATGTATTGCACACAGCTATTCGTACTTCTACTGATATAGAATACATAAATAACCTAACACTAAACAAATCAATTTGTTAAACGTTTCAAAGATCAAATAGACTGTGTGATGATTTTACATTCATACAACTGTTTGTTTTATTGAAATAAATGTTAATTTCAAAACAAACATTGTTGAAGGACCAGACAATGTTCGTTGTATCAGTATCGATTTATTGATAGCAAATATTTATAACGTTATGTATATAAATAATGTTATATATAAACTCATATACGCAGTTACCTACAGAACCCTGAAAATATTAGTCATGTTTTGGACAATCCTCTAAGAATGGAAGTATTTATTTTGCTTTCTCGCTAGTGTATATCTATACAAATAAATAAAATGAGAGTGTCTGTTTGTAACATTAAAATAACCGCTTTTTACTAAATGCATATGTATGTTTACACGGTACATATGCCAAAATAACATTTTTTACAATTTTTGTCTGTCTGTCTGTTTGTTCCGGGTAATCTCTGTAACGGCTGGACCGATTTCGACGGGACTTTCACTGGTAGATAGCTGATGACATAAGGAGTAACTTTTTTTTTTTTTTTTTTTTTAGACAAGCTTCGCCCCGCGGGTTTGCCTGCGGTTATAACAACAAACGAGGGTAACACCGCAGGTCTCAGCTAGTATATCGTATAACAGGTGTACCTATATAATAACAATAAACCTGTTGTTTAAATTATCATTGTCATGGACACTTCATTAGTTTTTTTAAAGTTATTGATTTATTACACACAGGAACTGTCAATTTTTCTGTGATTATGGCGCTTCACTATGTGTTTATTACAAAAACATATTATACCAAGTAAGCATTTAAAACTCTAAAGTAAAACTCCCAAGTGACAATTAATATGATTTGTTTGCATTTCGACTGTATATGGAAAAGTTATATGTGTATACCTAAATTGAGGTCCTCCGTCCTTACGAGGTTCGTTACTGCTTTAAAATATGTAGTATTTAATGTGAGTTCTAATAACATAAATTTAATTTTTTAAACTGTTTTTGTTTTTAGTGTAGTTATTTTTTTTTACAATCAACAAAAAGAAAAAGAAAAAAAAAATTTTTTCTAGCTCGTCTAATCATATTTGTCATATTTACTCTAACTTTCAAATTTATTGCTTTTATAGAATTGAAATAAAAAAAGGATGGCCAAAGAATAGGTTTTATAATACACAGTGTGCTTGATTTTAATATAAAGCTATTTTAGCTTATATCGTTTTGGCCGTTATGGACCTAAGTCCTAAGTTCACCTAAGTGAATCATGAATTTATTATGTCACACCTTCAACGGAATAAAATGATTTATATTAATCGGCTCAGTATCTTGAAGATAAGATACGCATAATATATAGTAGAACATGTAGCGCGCTTTGCTTATTGGCATGACTAATTTAAATAACCATTTTTTACAGTATAGTGGATTATTTTTAAGAATAAAAATTTCAGAAAATAAGCGTGAGATTGTTTTCGCGTATCAAACTAATTAAACTGTAGGTATAAAGAATAAAAGTTCATTGAAAAGCGATAATGTTTTTTGTACACTGATTTCAATAATAATAATTGACTGAATTGATTAATTGATTGAACTTTGCCTTCAAACTAGGTTACTCGTAAGATGTGACTTAGGAACCAGTGTCCTGCAGCTGATTGTTAATATTGTCGGCCTAATGCAGGACGTCTCGATAACTTTGATAATCAGCCTCACTTGCGCATGGCGACGCGTCGCCACGGCAACACATCCATCTGGTCCTACCTTCTGCATTAGGTTTTACACATCAATAGATAGATAGTTATAATAAACGCCTAAATATCTACACTAAATGAGCAGCAGGAGCTCAAAGTGAAAGTTCAATCATATGCATATAAAAAATAAAATTAAAGTGTATGTTTGTAATGGTGTAACAACAGCTTTTTAATACATTACATACACGGTAATTAAACACAAAAATCGTTTCTTTTTTCATTTTCTCAGAATTCAGAATCTCCAGAATGTTTGGACGGACTCACATTAACTTTCACCGGCAGATAACTAGAATTTCACTGTTATTTACGGGGTCCCGGGCAAAAAAATATGTAATAGTATATGTATAAAATATATTATAAAAAGTTTTATATATTTGTTTGTAATAGATACACTCAAATACCAATTAACCTATTTTCATCATTAGCGATCGATATATGCCCAATTTTATTAAAAAAATATAGATTCGTACTGAAATTGCAATAATCTGGCTAGTTTGGGATCAGATGACCGTGTGTGACGTAATTTTTTATTATTCAAATTAATCAATTATAACGTATGATCATCATATTAATCTTCATCAACTAAATAGTTACATAATCAAGATTAATTATGTAACTTGCGGCAATGCAAAAGTTTCTTAAAATTATCTGGAACTTTCTGTTCGGACGGTATAAAGCAAACAAAAGAAAAAAGGAAACATGCCGCGGTGTGTCACACTTACATTTTCTTATTTTGGAGTCAGTGTGAGTATTGGTTCTAAGATTTGTCTATCGATTATCGAAACTTTTAGTTTTTGTGCTAAATAAAAGTCATTGATTAGAAGTTTGTAATTTAATGATGAGGCAATTATTTAACTATTTTCTTCTAGCTCTTAAACTTTTTCATTCAATTACCGAAAATCTATTTCATTTTAGTATAACCATAGCACGTTTACATATCCCTTAGACACATTCAACAATAACTGCGGTAATGATTAAAAATTGTCATTTACGCAAATACCTCCATGTGTTAAATCTCTAAGATTAACGTGAATTGGTAAGAACTCGAAGTTTCGCCATAAAAACGTTTTAAACAATAAAATGAAAGATGACTGCCTGTGTTATACAGTTATATGAACCTGTACATCACGCTAGGAGCACGACTTAAGAAAGCTTAACCTAAATGATTATTTCACTTCTTGCACAATCAACTTCATACCTATTATAAGCCTTTCACTTATGTTCAAAATATACTGGCACTGTATGCGATAATTGCCGATGCACGTATCCCAATAAATTAAGCAATGTGTTGACTTATATTGTACTGACTATGCACGCGGCGCCGCCGGCGTGTATGTGGGTTATCGCGGTTAAAAGTAGCCTAAATCCTTCCACAAGAATCAAAATATCTCCATGTTCAAATTTCCTTAAAACCGGTTTAGCGGTTTAGCCGCAAAAGCGTAACAGACAGACAGAGTTACTTCCGCATTTCTAATATTAGTAGGGATATGTAGTAATGTGTAACATCTGTCCGTGCGTAGTCACTTTAAAGTTAATCCCTGAATCAATGATAACAAACTTTTGTAATAAAGTAGCCTGAGACTTGGAGAAAAAATTCGTCAATTTTTTAAATGCAAACAATTTATAGCTGCCATTTCCGTGATAAGTAGGCAACGGTTATCTAAGGTTTTAATATTGTACTAATCGCAGCATTTAGATAATAATGAAACTGTTCTCATGATTTATGATAGTTATGATAAGACCGCATTATTAATTTGTTTGATTATAAACAATTAACGACCCAAATCACGTTTTTGTACATCAGTTTTACACAATTGGCACCGATTAGTCAGATAGAAAATAGTCGTAGTGAATGAAGATGATTGTATAGAAAAAAAATCGAGATTATTCACTTTGATATTTACAGTATTTTAAAGCCATTAGTTTCACGAGTCGAACAATACATTTCTAGTATAAGTTAAACTGTCGTGGTATAGACTTTCTCTATTACACAACACGTATAGATAATTACATCAAATATATTTTTAAGTTATAAAAATCTCTTTCAATTTTTTTTTAAGTTCACGATATCCCGTTGCGCGAAATTTGCTGAAAAACAAAAGGTTACAAAGCGCTCTAGTGCCTATAAATTGAAATAAATACATTTGGCGTTCAACTTAGGCTTTTCTTGGATAAAAAATAGATAAGTGTAGACAAGTTATGTTATCAAACTTCAAAGTGTAATTAGGTACGAGCTATATACAATACATATATATTATTGCACGTTGATTCTTGAGTGTATTTTTATCGAAGTTAAAAGAAACTACTAATACATACTCGTAAAAATGTTATCGATATAGTAATTACTATCGATAAAGGACTGTGTGGAAAACTACACAAAGGCTTGGAATTTCATGCATTCAACGATGAAATACTAAATGAAACATTACATGTCTTTTTATTTATAAAAGATGTTGAAAAAGAAGACGGCCGGTTTGAAAAAATATAAACAAGTGCGAGTTCGCTCTCATTTTATAAAAGTTCAGAAATCGAGTCTTCCAGTGTTTTCCCAGCTTTTCTGAGCGAAATTCAGTTTTCAAAACTTTTAATTACTTATATTATTGTGTTTTATTAGTGAAACAAATGATTGATTACGTACCTACTTTAAATAAAAATCAATTTTTGTACAGCATTTCGCAGGTATGTACCTACGTATTCTACAAAATCATACTGAGCATAACGTAGTTTAATTTATACGCTAAGGTATGGTAATTTCACTTGACCGTTGAAATTAATTTGTAAATGCAACGACTCATACGCGATTCCAAAGTCCAATAACATTTGACACATTCAACCAATCACGTTGACAAAAAATGTTAAAGTAAAAATTGTAGGTACGAAAGTAAAAAAACATCTTTTGTTAGTATTTACTTTGGCATGGTTTTATTAGTGTATTTACTGTATTCTGCTTTTCTTGATCACCCTTGGAAGTGGTAATTCTGCTTCATATTTGCGACCGAATGAGAAATATATTATCCCAAGAAAAAATAAAATAAAATTTAATAGATCGGTCCTATTCGCACCATCTAACAATATTATGAAAATCAAAAATGCCTATTAAATGGTTAGCAATCTACTTACTTCAAGTACTGTTGATACAGATGCATTGTCAAATTAGTCCTAAGTCTTAATTTCAGCTCGCCTATACTCCATTTCAATACGTTGTTCACCAACGATATCTGAAAAAAAAACAACCATTATTGAATCACTCTTCTATCAAAGTTTAAGAAATATCTAGATAGTTTTGTGCACACGGTAAACAAAACATCTGGGCCTCAATTCTGCTATTTTATGTTAACGCCAAGCCACTGTCATTCCATTGACACGCTATTAAGTGTTGAGACGCCATTGACATCGGTCAAAATAGCAGTATTCTACTAACACAAATTTACAGTGTCAATAGGCTGTCTATTTAGTAATATAGATCATCAATGATGATATCAGCAACATTACCATACCTGGTAAATTAAACATATAATTTTCTTACAAATATTAAATGTACCGTTTACCAAACTGTTACAAAGACATCGACGACATCTGTATCAGTGACAAGTCATCGGCCATTGGTCTTACATGGATAGTAGAATAGGAAAAGTGAAAAACTATTACGACGACATTCCATCGACAGTTTATTGATACAATATTAAAATAGCAGAATTGGGGCCCAAGTCAATGGCACGAAGTACCTGTCACTGTAATGAACTATTTGATTCTTCACCCATAAAACCAATTCTGTGTGAAAACCATTCTGTTGTTAGTTTCAATTTCTCTAATAACCGTTAAATTTAAATCACAGGTACTTTATATTACTGATCAGGTATCTCGTTTGGTCACTATACAAAACAGTGTATGCATTTCAGCATATCGAACAAAATGCAAAAATATCAAATAAAAAGTAAAGAAGTCCTTCAAATCAATTACTAATAGGTTTTGCTTGTAAACAAGTCTTATGAATTCTCTACATATAGCCAAAACCACAAAATGATGCAGTAACTTTTTTGTTTCTCAATGAATTTAGCAATGTAAGGCATTAGTCACGAACTGACAGCTATTATTAGTCTCGGTATATAACCATAATATTAAAATGATATTAAGAAACAATATAACTTTTATTATCAAGTCCGATGAAATCGAAATGAAAGAACAAGGAGAGGAAATACTATAAGAATGTGGCGAACAGTTGCACACAGAAACACGTTTCTTACGTCAGATTTAATAATATGCAATAAAAGCTATAGAATGTGGAACGCTTTGAAATTGTACTTCCTGATACTAGGACTTTTATATATTTACTAGCTGTACCCTGCCACGATTCGTTGTGGCACATTAGGAGCAAAACTGACGCTAGAAAAAATAGATAAAAGCAATTTTTTTAAGCGGGTTGTTTGTCGTGTGAAAATTTGAACTCAATCGGTGCAGAACTTTATGAGTTTTTGAACCGTGCACAAATCAACTTCACATTTTTATAGATATATAAGATTATGGAACAACATACAAAACATACATTTTTAAACATGATATTATGTAATGTATCCATAATATGTGTATATTTAGAAATATTTAAGTATGTTTATCAGCTGTCTGGTTACCTTAACGTAGACTTTGCCTAGTTTATGATCAGGATGCTAATTCTCGTAATAAAAGTTCGATCAAGGTATTTTCTTAGTAAAATAATTCAGTAGTAAAAAGATTAGCAGATTACCGATTCAATCCTCTTTCACAATACGATATAACCTGGTTACAGTCAACGTTGGATGTTTAATACTTTACTACAAAAATACCTTTTATGACAGTTGTGAGATCGAAAGTTGATTGGAACTGAATTGAGACCGAACTTTTATTACGAAAATTGGCCTTCAGATTGCCGTGGGTGAGCTGTGTGAAGTTATTACTATTAAAAAAGAGTATGGAAAGTTCTTATAAGTACTGTACTGCATATACAGTATACATGTAATAGATTGCCGAAGATTAACTAACAAAATTATTAAATTGAAATTAAAACAATCATAAATAAAGTGAGAATGTAAAACGAAAAATAAATTCATGAAAATACAATGCAAAAATATTTTTATTTTAGTTTAGTATATATTATAATATATTCCTGTATTTTATTTATAGAATTATATTATATTCATGAATTCTTATGGAGAATAACATTATACATTTTTGAACTACAAATGTACATTAATGTCTTAACTATTCATTGTCAAAATGATGGAAAATACTAATTGAGTCACACTACAAAGACGATTCAGAGATCATTATACATTGATATGTACATCATTCACAATAACATCATTGATAAATGGTATAGATCGTAAAGATAAATTATCCCAATAAACGGTGACCAAATACATGCAGAGTGTAATACTTAGTACTAGGTCATCATCAACAGCCTTAATAGTCCACTGCTGGACATAAGCCTCTCCCTAGAAAGGAGGTCTTGGCCTACTATACCACGCCGGCCAGACGGGTTGGTATAGGGTTTGTGTCAAGTTTTCCTTCTCTCTGCAGTGCTGTTGTCCTGCGTAGTTTGCTCCCTTAGTCGGCTCTTACGACACCCACGGGATGAATAGGGGTGGTGACACTCTGTATTCTTAATCAGTCACCACACGGAATAGTACTAGGTATTCTTTGTTAATATTATTTTATGTAATGTACACAAGTCTAAATGATGCAACAACTCTATGATTATATATTATACTTTTCTTAGTGGCTCCAAACTCCAAACTAAAGTGTAAAGTCTAAACTACAGACACGTGAGGTGGATAAAAAAATATGAGAAGCACCTATCTCTGTATGTGTGTGTTAAATTTGTCATAACTTAGGTAAGAAAACGTTAATTAATATTTCAGGTTTTTGATGTGTATACTAACCTGAACTCAATCAGAACCATTATGATGAATACGAAAAAAAAATTTTTCTTGTTTTTGTATATACGTAAAAATGAGGGGGCAAACGAGTCACCTGGGCCTCAATTCTGCTATTTTATGTTTACGCCAAGCCACTGTCAGACCACTGACAAGCTATTGAGATGCCATCGAGTGGCCATTGGCATCGGTATAAATATCGGTAGTTGAAAATATATTAGGTACGTTTTTTGAGGAAATGATTTATTTATTTTTATTATAATAAATTATTAAAATAATAATATAATATATAATGTCTTATTTAAATAGTAAGTACAAATACATTTATCTTAGGCCTAAGGTAAGATGGTATTTATATTACTTTGGAGTAAATGAGGGAAAGGCTATGTTCTTTATCTATCTTCTTATATGTAGTAGTCTTATATGTCTTGCAGTGTATATCTAGTCATTTTAACCGAATGTCCGCCTCTAATTTATACACTTGTTCTCATAATATTATGATAACAATATACAACAAAACTTAAAACCTATTTTTTAATTGTCGAGGTTGTTGACATTGAACGCGTTTTTTACCGACTGCGCGGAGGATCTAATATTTTATTGCGAATATTATTTGGATGCGTATTTTTAGCGCCAAAAGTGTGTGTTTAATTTTTTTTTACTGCATATGTTTAACTGGCAATTTTGTTGATTGGACTGCTTACTGTAGTATCAACAGTCGCAGTCATTTGAATAATATTGAATTATATCCTTAAATGTAAATATCAATCACTTCAATAAAACTATACTTTTGAAAATATATTATTTCCATTTTGATGAGTGTCATCATTACTCTCAATCTCTTGAATTTGTGAAAATGATTTCAGAAAAAGAGACACCAGGATGCCGAAGAAGCGTGACAGGTGACATGTCAAATTTTGCATGTAATGTCAGTTACACGTCATGCGCCACTACTGCAAAGGTGGCTTGTTTTAATATATAATTATAAACATTGACGACCGAATGGCGTAGTGGTTTGTGTAACGGACTGCTATTCCAAAGGTCGCGGGTTCGATTCCCGCTCAAGTCAAACATTTGTGTGCATGAACATTTAATGTTTGATTTGGTCTGGGTGTTTCTATGTACAATAAGTATGTATTTACAAAAAAAAAAAAGTATATATGTATTTATATCAGTTGTCTAGTACCCATAGTACAAGCTCTGCTTAGTTTGGGACTAGATGGCGTTGTGTGAATGTTAAAAAAAAAAAAAAAAAAAAAAAAAAACCAGTCAATGACCAACAAATAAGGAAAAAAGAATCGCTGTACTGATTAGGAAAAGATGATACGGATAGATAGCATACTATCTATGTTACTACATGTAGTTAGTAGTATCAAGTCATATATAAACAGTTTTCCTGTTAACTAGATGTCCTCAGTCCTGAGGCAGGCAATTTAAGTTATCTTCTAGGTAGACTTAGATCCTGATTGATACTATTTGGTTGCAAGTTCGACCTACTACTTGTCACGGGGATAAAAATAACTTAAATGTAAGTAGTAAGTATATTATGACAGAAGTAACTGATAACAATTGACTGCACGGATGGCGTAGTGGTTGGAATGGAATAAAGCATCGGATACTTGCTTTTGTTTTTTAAATATATGGCAACGCTATGTGTAAAAGAAATAAATACTTACAACTGGCATGGATATAAAGAACTGGGTTAATAATCTTCTAAACTCTTTGTGATTCATTGTGATTATAGATCTGTAACAAAAATTGTGTATTATGATTTTTTCCCCACATATAATTAACTAATGAAATTTTCCATAAGTCTCATTATGTTGAATCTAATTAAGAAAAGATGAAAAAGATAAAAGTTCTACATTTTAACCAAATAATAAACCCAAGGTAAGAACAACGATATAAAAGGCTAAATAGAAAGTACTATATCGTCACATTGAACTTTTCTGTATTGAGTATATTTAGTGAAAAAAAAAACATTCTTTGGTGAAATGTTTTAAAAAACTACATTGATTAAACTATAGATTACTGGTTAGGATTTACAGGGTTTTTAGGGTTTACATTTATTGTCTAATACTGTTGTTACAAATTATTAGGTATACTGGTTATATATAAATAATACACATGTATTTACTTTGTTGTGTTGTTAAATATAACTAGTGCAATCCGAAGAAGGATAAATCTAGTTTAGCCTGAGGCACACATTGCACAAAGTTCAAATATGTAAAAATTTAATATATTCTTCATTTAAAAATGAGAAAAATACTAAATCTATACTTTTAAAGGATATATATTCACTGTTTTGGACGTTAGACGGTAATAATGTACGTAGTCAAATGATTTTCAAACACGCTCTTTTAAAAAACCGATAGTTATTTTACAAAACATATCAACTATGAAAACAGCTCAACTATTTATGAATTTACATGAAGATGAATCGAGTATTCAAATTTTATGATCAACAAAACATTTATTAATGATAATTGGTGTGGCAACATATTTATCAGAATAAATATCTTCGACGTCTGCCTTATGTGACTTCCCCATAATATTACCATACAGTATAATGATGATACAACTACTGCTGTAACCTGCAGAGTTTACCGTATTCCGTAATATTTACCAGAGGCAATAAATGCTAATATTCTACAAAAGAACGGTTTGTTTCTTCGAAAGTGGTAATCAGACGCACAACAGAACGTTATCTATAATTCTAATACTATAACGTCACACTGCGCAATTGAAACGTGGACCTGAAAATTTTATGTGTAAGTTGAAGATGTGTGGTATGCCGTCCCATTACCATTTTTGCAATAAATCCAGGACAGTTTTCATAATCAATTGAATCAATAATAAAACAATTTTATGAAAGACCATCCCAGAAAAGTATCTATTTTTAACTTTTATCGTTGTAAATAGTTGTGTAAGGTTTTTAAATTGTTGTGCACTGCTTTTACCCTTTCATATATGTTTTAGATCAAAAAATGCAATTCACAGTGCAAGTACAAATTGTTTTTTTTTACAATACTGAACTTAAGAAACGAACTTAATTTAACTGCAGTCGTATGCTTGCGAAGAGAAGTGTCGCCATACAATGCGGCAATACTGCCATTCTTGTGTCGGCGCATTACTGGTTGAAAGCTCCATTATTTAATTTTCATACTATAATCTCATCATCATCATCAACAGCCTTTAACAGTCCACTGCTGGACATAAGCCTCTCCTTAGAAAGGAGGTTATGGCCTACTATACCACGCTGGCCAGACGGGTAGGTATAGGGTTTGTGTCAAGTTTTTCTTCTCTCTGCAGTGCTGTTGTCCTGCGTAGTTTTCTCCCTTACTTGGCTTGGCTCTTACGACACCCACGGGATGAATAGGGGTGATGACACTCTGTATTCTTAATCCGTCACCACACGGACCACTATAATATCCTTTAAAAATATTTTACTAAGATTAATGAACTCTTAGAGAGGGAGAGGCCATGTCCAGCAGTGGACTGCGATAGGCTGATGATGATGAATGAACTCTTAAGGAAGTTACAGATGCAATATTGCATAATGTTATTACGCTAAAGGTTTATTTCCCATTCACCATAAAGCGAAACGACGAGACTAGTTTTTACGTAACAAAATTTGGTTGTTAAAGGTCTTGGCCTAGTGACCGTCTGCTACTTAGCCAAGCGTATGTTAGCATTTAAAACTTCGACGAAACTAATTTTAAATCAGACAATGACGTTATTCATTATAGTCAACTGAAGAAGTTGTGTATCAATATGCGCGAGCACTTTAAAAGTGCGATTTATTTATAAAATTACTAGCTGACCCGGCAAAAGTTGTTTTGCCATATACATTATTTTTCAATGCTAAATCATAATTTGACCAAAAAAATTGACCAAAAAATTAATAAAAAACGTTAGGGGTGGACAACCCTTATCACTTAGGGGTATGAAAAATAGATAGCAGCCGATTCTCAGACCTACTGAATATGCAAATAAAATTTCATAAAAATCGTTCAAACCGTTTCGGAGGAGTATGGTAACTAACATTGTGACACGAGAATTTTATATATAAGATACAGACTATTCTAAACTAACAAATTTTCTATTCAAAAGCTACTGATCTCAGAAGAGGTTCTCTATTGAAGGGTAATCTTTCGATTTCCCTGAAGATCTGGCTACCTAGGTAATATGTAACCAAAGTTCCGCCTTGCAACTTGCAGAATGATGGAAGAGCACAGTATACAATTTTGCAAGGATATAAAAAGAACTGATCGAGAATCTAAAAATATGCTGCTGCGCTCTGAAATCATCATCAAATAATTGATATAGGGATGTAAGCAGCGAGGCTCAAATGAGATAAGGTGGGTCACGTTAGCAGGATACAGAACGATAGATTGCGCCCGCTGAGACAAAATCGCAAATTTTTTGACATTGTGACCTTGAAGTTAGCTGGTTTTTTTTTGGAATTGGTTATCGGTCTCGTGGCTTTAGCATACCACAGACGGTTCACTATAAAAATATAATAAAAGTATTCGCATTCTTGGAATGAGCCCTATAGATGACCGGAAACAAAAACTCATTCATTTCCTGCAATCCGAAGGGATAAAAAAGTGTTTGTGTATGGTATTCTGTGTCGGCATTGTTAAGGGCAGCTTTATGGTATCTTTGTCAACTTGATGCATTTTATAGAGGTATGGTTAATTTGTAGTATGGAGAGTGGTGTGGAGTATGAAGATATTTTTTTTTAAAGTTCAAACTCTTTATCACGTAAACGATCGACTGCTTCCCAAATAATATACCGTAACAAAACTACAAAACCTTAACGTTTGTTTTAAAAATAAATGACATGATTGTCTTTAACCGAGTTCAAAAAAGGAGGTGGTTCTCAATTCGTCGGAATCTTTCTTTTTCAAATTCTTAACGTATAGAATAGTTTTCATTAAGAAATACATCTCATTTAGCTTTATTAACTTATGACTGCGTTTTGATCATAACATATTGTATACAATTTGCTAACTGATCTCGTTTTTTTTTACAACTTAAACAAGTTAATCAATGGTGCCTTATCAACCTAAATTCATAAACATTAATTTAAGTCACTCAATGTCTACGAACGCGTTAGTTAAACTTATACTTCTGTCACTCAATGTCTACGAACGCGTTAGTTAAACTTATACTTCTGTCACTCAATGTCTACGAACGCATTAGTTAAACTTATACTTCTGTCACTCAATGTCTACGAACGCATTAGTTAAACTTATACTTCTGTCACTCAATGTCTACGAACGCGTTAGTTAAACTTATACTTCTGTCACTCAATGTCTACGAACGCGTTAGTTAAACTTATACTTCTGTCACTCAATGTCTACGAACGCATTAGTTAAACTTATACTTCTGTCACTCAATGTCTACGAACGCATTAGTTAAACTTATACTTCTGTCACTCAATGTCTACGAACGCGTTAGTTAAACTTATACTTCTGTCACTCAATGTCTACGAACGCGTTAGTTAAACTTATACTTCTGTCACTCAATGTCTACGAACGCGTTAGTTAAACTTATACTTCTGTCACTCAATGTCTACGAACGCGTTAGTTAAACTTATACTTCTGTCACTCAATGTCTACGAACGCATTAGTTAAACTTATACTTCTATCTATATATTAGTTAGTTTTGCTATGGATACACTCGCGATCCATTCGCCAATGATGAGATGGGGTGTATTGTTTGTAAATAATATTTCATCATCATCAACAGCCTATACTAGTCCACTGCTGGACATAGGCCTCTCCTTAGAAAGGAGGTTTTGGCCTACTATAAATAATATGTAGATAAATAAATATATTCAATTTATGCAATAGCTTTTTATGTACAATGTACTAACTAGTAACTATTATCGTAGTCATCACTCGTTACTATTTTTATTGCTGTAAATCGACGCGATCGTCCGTTCCTCATCGTGTCTCTAGTAAAGTATAATTTTTTATCGCAACAATGCACCTGGTAATTTAAAGTAAATTACCAGGTATCATTTAAATCCGGTTTTGTTGTAAACACGGATTGTGATCAAATGACGGAGTGTACATATTTCTCACAAATATTCATGTACATATATAGCAATAGCTATTTGTATGATACTTTTTAGATTTTAGAGGTCTTTAAATATTTAAAAAATTCACATCTACTAACTATGTATTACGCTTTCGTTTCGGATAGATATGACGTGTCTTCTTAAACATGTAATCAAAAGGCAAGGATTTTTTTTATTTTATATGCTGCCGTACCGTTGGTCTGATCACCATGAAATCTGAATATAAGTGCCAGTAATACACACATGGTGTGAACCTTAAATACAAAAAAGAAACGGTCCTAAGGGATGGAAAAATTATTTCTGGTTCTTCGAAAAAATGACTTCTTACAAAAAAAAATGAAAATTGCTTTAGGACACGAAATATTTTTTTCACAGAGCAAACCTAATTCCAAATATTCTCATCACTATCTTTATGGGACTTCCTATGATAATAAATCTATATTTATATAAAAATGGTAAGTGACTACCATAGCTCATGGACAACTAGGCAATTCACACACTCGGAGAAATGCAACGAAAAAAATTCCTAACTCCAATTTTCTAACAAAAGTACATTGCCCCTAAAATAACAGAGGGGGAGGGTGTAGTGTGTAAAATCCATAACAATACTTAAATACATAACATTAAGAAAGTATTCATCTCATAATATTTAGATAAACTGGAGGTTGTGTATACACCATTCCTCAGTGTGAGAGTACAAATACTTTATTAGAGCATTAGTAAAGTTGAGACATTAAATATAAAAGGAAAATTAATAAATATACGAGTATTAACACATAGAAATGTATTTGTGACAAAGCATTGAACTTCTGACTTGTTTTACATACAATGACTACAAATGAATATTCTATACTGTATAATCTTGAAGGTTGGGTGTGAATTCTATGATTTTTGGAATCAACTTTGTGCACTATCTGTTCTCTAAAGTCTAGCATTAGGAATATACTACACATAATTTATTATTTATTAGAGTTATTTGATCTAAATAATATTTTGGTACAAAATAATCCCTCCATGTGGTGACAGATTAAGAATACAGAGTGTTACCATCCCTATTGATCATGTGGGTGTTATAAGAGCCAACTAAAGGAGCAAACTCAGCAGGACAACAGAACTGCAAAGGAAAGGAAACCAATGAGTCTGCCCAGCATGGTATAATGGGCCTAAACCTCCTTTCTAAAGAGAGGACTATGTCCAGCAGTGGACTAGTAAAGTCTCTTGATGATGATGAAGTGAAGTTAACATGGTTGGGCATAGTATACTCAATACTTTATTATTCACCTATTAAAAGCTGCTGATGATGACATTTTTTTTACATCTGTATGTAGTCATCTCCTTGGGTTGTGTGAATTTTACAAAGGAAAGACAGAAAAAAAACATACAATTAATTCTGGAAATCAACAGAGTGCCGAGAGACAGAAAAAGTGTGGTCAGAACGTTACTTCACAATTCCGAAACAACAAGAAACCTGACAGGGGCACATTACTCAATTATTTGATATTTATTGGTCTAGTTGGTAGTGAGGTTGTGGGTTCGATTCCCACCCAGGATAAATAGTTGTGTGAAGAGCACATCAAACAACATCACATTGCACATCATATTGCTTTTATGCCATGGACAAATGAACAGGAAGAGGCCCTGTTTATTTGCTCGTGACTTGAAGAAGCACCTGAACCATTGTAGTTAGTTATATTTAAACTTTTTAAATTAAAATTCTGTGACTTCAATGCTCTTTACAGTAGTACATACATATTCTATTCAATTTATTGTTTACCGCTAAGTCATTTATATAAATGTCATTGATAGACAATTTAAATTTTGACTTTTATGGGTTTTCTTTTTATGAATATTCACATTAATTTATTGATAATTTTAGCCGTCTGTGTTCAGTAATGATATTTCCATTACAAACTTAGTAACTGTATGTTTTGATAGTAAGTATTAAACTTCACATTGTACATATAAATGTATTACCCTTGAGAACACTCATGTTAACGGATACATGAGTGTTCTCGGTAGTCTAGTAATTCACGATATATCATAGATTACTTAATGCGTCTATTTCATACGGAAAAACTGCTTCTATAAGTACTATTAACCAGTAACCTCTTGATTGCAATTTTACCTTAGGAATTAACCCACTAATGCTATAAAATGATTATTTTTATAATATAAATATTTTAACTTCATAAGTTTTTTTCTGTTATTAGCCACTTCAAATACTTATTTTAGTTTAACAATCTACCCTGTGGTTTAAAAAGTTGATTTTATAGTAGTGAACTACATGGTTCCTTTTATGAGCATGTAAATTTCATGTTGAAGACTTTTTATGGTTATTTTTAATGTTGAATATATAGAATAGAATATACTTCATTGTTCACCATCTATACTCTATACAAATAAATAAAATTGGAGTGTCTGTGTGTAATATTAAAATAACCGCTTTTTACTAAATGCATGTGTATGTTTACACAGTACATATGCCAAAATAACATTTTTTTAAAATTTTATCTGTCTGTCTGTCTATTTGTTCCGGGTAATCTCTGGAACGGCTGGACCGATTTCGACGGGCAGATAGCTGATGGCATAAGGAGTAACTTAGGCTACTTTTTTTTTACTTTCGTCTTTTCGGGATATGTACAATGGTCGGCCTTACTGCTAAAAGATCTCTTACAGGCAACCTTTGGATGGACAAATCAACAGTAATGGGTAGTCCAGGTGTATTGAAGCTAATGAATATATATCTGAGCATTGAATAAAATTTATATCATTTGAATCCACTAAGCAAGTAGCTTATTATACAAAATTTTATTAACAAATGAATCTTATTTAATTTTTATCTTGATTACAACTTTTGTTATATTTGTCTAGATATAATATTATTTATTTAATAATAATTAATGTGAGTATTTGTCATATTACTTCACACAATAAATATTATTTATGCACTTACCCTTCAACTAATGTTGTATGTTGAATTAACCACAAGTCACACATTGATCTTGATATTAAAGACAAAGCTATGAGCATCATGAAGCCACTTTCTTTTGACCACATAGATGGCATCATAATCTTCCATATTACTTTAAATTCAGCAATAAACCTAGCATCAACTTGTGCACGAGGTCCTTTTTTATTTTTATCTTTTATCATATACTGTATTTGTTCTTCAGGTGATAAACGAACAGCTTTTGAATTTTTTGGTTCTCTGAAAAAAATTAAAAACCAAATTACTTTTAGTTTAAATTTAAAACGAAAAATGAAACTAATAGTTTGAAAGAAATAGATAGTTTCTACAGTACATAGATATGCTATTATCTACAATTTTAGTACCCGCTGTACTAAAATAATCTGTTTTAGTAATGAAGACTTGAAATACTTGATTAACTAACAAATTAGAAAGTTATATAAAATAATAACAAACTTGGCGCCAACGTGATTTTTATTATAGTTATAATAAAACTTACTAGCATAGCTTTAAATTTCTAAATCAATTAATGGAAATTACTTATATGACAATATTCACCTTGAATTTATAGATTTCTTAATAAGCCAGGCACCGAGGGCTGCAGAGGCAGCCAGCCCGATTTTTACATCGGTCCGTGAGGTAATTTTACTAAAATTCGGCGCCATATTTTTATAAAAACTTAATTATACTTTAAACAACATTTATTACACATGAAAACACACGTATCACCACCACGGACACTCAACACTCACTTCATCCTGATTAAGAAATCAAATTTAAAATTACGAAACGTCGTACGATGAGTACGATACGTCGCGCATAAATTGTTTAGTGTTGCACTACACGAGAACATTTACTTATTAGTCGATTTTATTTAAATTATCGCCTTCTCAATGTGACAGTTAATAGATTAATACTAATAGTAGGGGAACCCTGGAAGGGATTTTGGGATTTACTCGAGCTTTTCAGATTAAGATAGGAGGAATACCTTACACCCAGTTGAGTACCTCCACCGGCTCCACCATACATGAGCCCTACATATATATACATATATATGGGGGAGCGTCTAGGGCAGCCCATCAGTGAAGTTAAAAAAAATCGATTGCCAGAAATCCTCGAGCGTATGAGATTAAGGTAAGTTGAGTCAATTACATATCCATTAGTGTGTATTTAAAAAATGAGACTATTTGAGCGTGACGTAAAGCAGTGGGAGGGTCACAAAGTACCAAAAAAAATCTTGACATTTTATTTTGAAGCAAACAATGCAAAAAATCTTTAAATGTCTGCATAATTGTTCGTGCCTTTATTTGTAACTTTTAATTTTAATTCGCTAAGAGCTGTGTCACTTTAAAATAGTCAGACCTTTCAATAGGCGTCCATACAACATATCCTCAAAATATCTGATGAGCCCGAATATTTTTGTTTGATTTCCTCCCCCTTACACTTTTGAAAACCTGTAGAAGCTTTTCCCACCACTAAAAGTGGATACATTACATAACTTTTGTTCATTCTATGAACTAATCAAATTCAAATTATGTTTATTTTATAATTTTTAAAATTGTTTGAAATCGTCTTTTATGTAGACTCTAAAGTAGCAGATCAACAGACACACAACAATCTCTGTTTTGTCAAAACTTTCAAATTGTCAATCTATCAAATGCTTACTTGATCCATATTTTATAGTGATACGAGTATGTGTTTGTAAATTTTGCAATAAAAAATTACTTTTCCCACTCCTGGGGTCATACGGAATCCAGGCAATCATGCTTTACTAACGTGAATACAATCATTTCTGGTGGTTTTCATCAATTTAACAAATACCCTGGAAGATTTGGGCCACCTCCCGGTCTATTACAACTATTTTCACTGAAATTTATTGTCGGCTACACTTTCCTCATTGAGCATGATTTTTTTTTAATTTTAAAGACGAAAAACTTTGCTTTTTTGCTATAAATTGTGTACATCATATTGATTATTCAGTTGATATATTTTTGTTTAATTTTACATTATCACGACATCACTATCAACTTTAAACAGCAAATGTCACAGTTGAATTGGCATCCTGTCACAAAATTTGCATTATTGACATTCACGAAAAATGATTATGTTTATAATAATGTTGTACAATTTTGTTTTGTTAATTTTTTTGATTTTATATTTTTATTTGCATGCTATTTGTGTGATCAGTTTTGATTTATAGTAGAAATTGTAATTACAAATACGGCCATCCCTTCTTTCTTTATTGGAAAAATTGCAAATAATGTTGCTAGCTTAGCGACTTATTTGCAAGAAGTGACGAATTTTGCTTCGGTCGTTAGTATAGAAATAAAAACATAGGACGAACACGGGCAGTACAGCTGCCTGTAAGTGGAAGGCAGTGGAAGCAATACAGGCAATAAGAGAGATGGATGTCCGATAGTCCAATGTTAAGCTAAGCTGTTTATTTATTTATTTATTATAATAAGTACAACCACATTGTATATATTACACAATTCACGCTACATTCAGTTGATGGTAATTATTCTGATATATACAACAATTACGGTGTACATAACATTCATAACAATATCAGTACAGTGAGATAAAATATGGATCTAATGGAACAGTTACTAGAAATTTTGTTTAAAAAAGAAACACTAAAAATAGCAGCAATAACAAATAAAAAAAAAAAAGATGATTACTAAATATAAATACTGAACTAAAAAAAAGAACATAAGTGGTTTCTAAAAACTACTACGAGTACAACTAGGCAATAACTTTGATTTTAAACTGGTTAAGCGCATGTGGAAAATGTCGAGATCATTATTCTTAATAACACTATTATTGTAATTGCAGCAAATTCGTGTCAAAGGTGATTGCAAGCCAAGGTTTGTTCTGCATGCTGGAGTATAGAAAAGTTTAAGTATTGGTTGTCTGGGATAGTGGTGAGGAACGGATATTGAAATCTTTCCGAGCAATTCGTTACATCTCAACTGACCATTTACTACCCTATGCAGAAAGCAAACATCCAACATTTGTCGCCGATCGCGTAAGCTATTCATTTTAAATTGAGCAAGACGACGGTCATAGGAGTTCCTATGTGAGAAACTCGTGGCCCGAAAAGCAAGGTGTCTAGTGAATGACCTTTGAATACTCTCTATGCGTTGTGAGTGAATACTATAGAAAGGACACCACACAACCGAGGCAAACTCGAGTCGGCTGCGTACCAGGGCGTTGTAAAGAATTAACTTGGTTTGGTACCGAGTAAATTCCCCAGTGTTTCTTTTAATGAACCCGAGCAACAGTGCTGCCTTTTTAACTGTTACGTCGATATGTGTGTGAAACTTTAGCCGACCATCGAGTACCACACCAAGGTCGCGAATTTCGTGGACCTCTGTTAATTGCACGCCACCTATTTCATACTTAGTGGCAAGTGGCTTCATCTTCCTGCAATATTTTATAAAGAAACACTTCTTCGCATTGAGAGTCATACGGTTGCTACCACACCATGCCGTAACACTATTCAGATCGTTTTGAACCAGAGCAGCATCCCTTTCATTAGTTACGACCCTATAGATTTTTAAATCATCTGCGTATAGTGCATATTTCGAATACTTAATGTGGCCAGTAATATCGTTAATAAATATCAGGAAAAGTATTGGGCCTAAGTGAGATCCCTGTGGGACCCCGGATTTGGCTAGGTAAGTTTCTGATGCATATCCACATACCTCAACAGTTTGCGGTCGGTTATAGAGAAATGATTTGAACCACTTCAATAGGATACCACCTACTCCAAAATTATATAACTTTTGAAGAAGTATCTCATGATCCACCTTATCGAACGCGCTACTAAAATCGGTATAAATAGCATCTACCTGTAAACCTTTGTCCACTTGTTGACACAGATCTGAGACGAAAGGAACAAGGTTTGATTCAATTGAACGGCCAGCTCTAAAACCGTGCTGATGATCAGAGAGATATGGTTCAGCTAAATTAGACACCAAAGGGTATATAAGGGTTTCAAATAGCTTCGAAAAACAGGAAAGGATAGAAATTGGTCGGTAATTCTGTACTTCAGCTTCACTACCTTTTTTGTAAATTGGTAGGATACGTGCTTTTTTCCAGATTTCAGGGAAATTTCCTTCAACAAGTGAGCGATTGTATAAAAGCGTCAAAGGTAAAGATAAGGCTGAACTACACCGTTTTACGAATAATGGAGGTATACAATCAGGGCCTGCTCCCTTAGTACTGTCTAACTTTTTGATCGCCCGGAGAACCTCGTTTTCGGTGAGATGTAATTTACCAATGAATGTACTACTCGCATTTATGTTATTAGCTATTGTGCTACTATGAGCCGGTGTTTGTGAGCTATAAACAGACGAAAAGTGAGCAGCGAACAAATTAACAATTTCTTTCCCAGTCTCCGCTGTAGAATCATTGAAATACATTTTAGCTGGCATACCAGAATGACCACCTCTTTTATTTCTAATAAAATTCCAAAATGCTTTTGGGTTACTTATAATGCTAGACTCTATTGTTTTCTTGTACTTGTTGTAACATTTATCGTATAATTTATGACATCGAGTGCGGAGAAGTTTAAATTCAATCTCATCTCGAGGATTTTGGTATTTGCGTAGCCTAATGCGAACCTTATTTTTTTCCGCCAAAAGTTTTATTAAAGCGGGGCTGAACCATGAAGGGTATTTAGAATTGACCAACCTACGCTTTGGCACGAATCTGCCGATTACATCATGTAAGGTATCATAAAATTTACGGACCATCCCGTTCACATCCTTCAAACCACATAATTCACTCTGCCAGTTAATGTTTCCTAGTTCAGTTATAATGGTTTTATAGTCAGCTCTGTAAAAATTATAATCAGTATTTGCTATAGGTTTTAAATATTTGACATCATGGTAAGAAACAGAAACTAACAAGGGTGGATGGTTAGAGTAGCATTTACTGAGAGTGTCACGGGCTTCTGTAACTTCAATATGTAGGAGATTCGATATGATTAGGTCTAAATACCGATTATCACTATTACTAATTGGGTTAGATTGATGCAACTCGTTTGTGGTCATAAAATCAATCAACAAATTACCTAGAGAATTATTATAGTTAGATGGTATAAGATAATTTTGATTATCTTGAACATCCCACGTTATGAAAGGTAAGTTAAAGTCTCCCACAAGTATAAAGTCATCAGTGTGGGGTAGTGCTGACTCAATGCTACATAATAAAAGTGACAAAGATTGTAACTTAACCGGGGGAGGTAAATAAGCTACACAAATGGTAACCTTTCTGATAGAATGCTTAATATCCAAATGCAATGTAACCCATAAACTTTCCAAATCTGTTTCAAAGTTAGTAATTCTAAATGATTGTATTTTACGTGAGACTGCAATCATTAGCCCTCCACCATCCATTTTTGTACTCTCAGAGCATATGCGATCTCGCCGATACACCATATACCTATCATCGATCAATTCATTATTTGAAATATTAGAGTTCAACCATGTTTCCGTAAAAGCAATGACGTTAAAATTAGCATTTAATATGTTTTTCAATACATCATTTGTTTTTGTTCTCAGGCCTTGAACGTTTTGATAGTAAATATCAAGCATTTTGAATAGCTGTGATTGGCTATCATTAAGTGGGCAAGGTTTTAATCGTAGAACAGGCGGAA